AGAATTAAGATAAGCCAATTAACCTAATATTTTTGTATTGTGTGAGGAAACCGGAGTACCCAGAGAGAACCCACACATGCACAGGGAGACTATGCAAACTTCATGCAGAAAGACTCCTTTCCACCTGACAGCCAATGCCCTGTCTTGTTCCTTTAGCCAAACCATGATCATAGAGCTTAATCAAAGCAATGCTTTGTGACTTACTCTAAGATTTTTAGTGGACTAGGTGAGTGATCGACACACTCTCTGAGACATTTGGTAGGTTAAAAAAAACTCCAAGGATACAGAAAATATTTAAGGTCAAGGCATCTAGATTAAAGACAATCCTGCATCAGAAGTGCTGTGAAGTTTGTAAGCAGAAAGTTTGGGGAGCGTGTTGAACAGGGGAATGAGCGCTGATAGGGTGCCAGTCAGAGTTAAGCACCGGGAGAGATAAGGGTAACCTGGAGCGCCCTATCACCATCCTCATCATCCTCCTCCTGAAGCTTTTAGCACATTCTCTGCATTCAGAGGGAGGGTGAAAATATCTCTCAGTCTGCACTTTAGCAACCAGAAACCGAGTGAAGCTTTTTCACACATAAATCATTGGTTTAGCACAGGGGTGGCTAACGTGAGGCTCTTGAGCCACGTGTGGCTCTGCTCTCCGTCCTGTGTGGCTGTAAAGGTTAGTGTACAGTTCCAAAGATTACGCCTCTGCTATGTTTTCTGAATGTTATTTCAAATTATTAACAGGAAAAAAAAATGTCGTAGGTCTGTTTATACTGTAATCTACATATGAGCGTAATATTATTAGGATCCTTATAGATATTTTTTACCACCAAAATCTTAGTGCCATGAGTTAAAAATCAACTAAATCTTATTAGTTTTTGGGGGGTGGGACTCAAAGGAAATGATTTCTAAATCACAGGGATTCATCAACTTTTAAAACAAATTTGAAAACTTTAGTTGAAAACATTACTTGAATGGTGTTCACAGCAATAAATAAATAAATAAAAAAATGTTGTGGGGGTCAGCAGCCTTCTTCAGTTTGACCTTCACATCCAGCCAGTCACAGTCAGAGAAACAGGACTACACTGAAAAACAGGCCGATCTCCAACATCTATTAAGAAAGGGGTTGATGGCAGCAGCACAGCTGATATTTCTCTCCTGGAGGGAGTCACAGTCAAACAGGAAAAAAACGAGGCGAAGCTACTATGAGAAAAAGCAGAGAGAGCAGAACATTAGAGATTTAATTAACAGATTCTGCAGAGTGGGAGAATAGAGATAGAATAAAGCAGGATGATGGAAAAGGGGTCCCTATGTCCTACAGAAGTCTAAGCCTACAGCAGCATATCTATAGAGATAGCTCAGGATAACCTGATAAGCCCCTCAAAGTATAAGCTTTATCACACTGATATCACACTATCAGTGTTTTCTTCTTATAAACAAATAAACAGTTTCTCCTCATGCTCCGTTTTTTTCTCTCTGTTTTGGTTCTTACAAATAAGTTTTGATAGTTTTGATGAAGTAAGGAGTAGAAAGTAGAGATATTTTTTCTAAATATAGTAAGTAAAGGTCCTTAGAAAAAAAAACACACACACAGAAAAAATACAGACTGAAAACACTTCTTAAATACAATAGCAAACTATCTATACTGTCATTAATCTGTACTGTTTACCTTTTTCTTTTGCTTCACTCTCTGTTCTGGTAGTTAGAGTGAGAATATGCACCTGCTGCTCTGACAATTACCTTTATTCATTATATCTGCTTCTTTTTGCTTTAGCCTGATTGAGACTTAATGTGTGCAATGCCAGCCTATAATAGGATAACAAAGTGATAATAAAGTGAAAAAATTTTCTCCAAAGAGCTAGAACTGACTGTTTTTATAATTACTTAAGTTTGAAATATTGTCCTGTACCTGTTATGAAATCATTTTGAACACTTATACAACATGTGGTGGCTAGTCTGTGTGTCAGAACTTTTAATTTTATAATATGTCTTGTTACTTTATTCACACATTCTAACATGAGCTGAAAATAGACTGTAGGTGAGTTGGAATACATGTTTGTATGAATTAATACATGCTTTTGTTGCACATTTTGGTATTTGTGTATGGAGAAGTTGGTCCAATCCTGTATAACTTAAGTTTGTCAAAATGAATTACTGTAGGCTTTGGCTTTTTAGACGTGTGGAGCGACTCCAGGTTTGTTACTTACACTGCAAAGTGATGAACTGTGTGAGAGAGAAAAAAATCCTTTACTTTTCTTTGGGATGATGTGGAAAAGGAGGTGAAATATTAAAACTGTATTAATAATCTCAAACAAAATACCACTTAATACCACAGATGCAGGAATATTATAAATCCACCCCATTTTTCTGAATGGGATAGATTGCTAGATCTACTTTGGTCTTTGTCCAGCCTCATAGTTCACCGTCCTAATTTTTTAACCCTTTGATTACAGCTATGTCTGTAGATACTGGTATATTTAGCAAGTGATATATTCTTAGACATGTCTTGTCTTTCCTATTTGAAGAGTGGTCTAGAGACAATGGCATGCCATTAATGTATTTAACTTTAGAAAGATATGTTGAATACAAATGTTTATCAAGTAGAATGTTACTATTAGGCTAATATTTATAGGACTAACAAGTTTTTTTTTTTGTAACTGTTGCTGCAAAAAAACAGTTTCCTCAAGCTTCCCCAAATTGAGGTTTCATGCTGAAAACTGTAAAAAATGTAAGACAGTTTTACAAAATAGGTAATTTATTCATTCATGTGTCAGCAGCAAAAATTAAATTCCCACGGGCATGTTCTGCACAGTCACAGGTGTTTGTTCTCATTGCAGTACAAGATCAATCAACCAGCAAAGTATTTGCTCACATTGTGAAAAAAAAAAGTGTAAATCATAACTTTACAAGTCTTTAAACTGCATTGACATGCAACAGATGCACGCTTTTTAGTAGTTTCCAAACCCTTTTAGCCATTCCAAACTACCACGTTGATTAAATAAAAAAAAAAAAAAGGTGTGATCAAGTAGAATCCGTTCTTTCAGCTTCTAGTGGAGTGTGTCACTGAAAATACAGGGTGTGTTAAAATCCAGTTTCATTTGTCAACCCTGAATCGAGGTATATGCAACGTGGAATACATCATCAGCTTTTCCAGCATCATTCTCTGGCAATCTTTGATCATATAAGTACCGTGCAGTCACAATACGGCTCACATTTTATACTGGTTATAGTAAGTTTAGGTTGAAGGACTAAGGATCTATTTCTGTCAAAATCTCACTGTTGAAAATTTACAAATGTACAGCATATTTAACATTACTATCAACAGCTTCAGTGCAAAGATATACATATTGTACATCATGATAAGAAAAACAATATTAACGAGAAAATTGGCATAAGAAATGTCAGAAGGCATAGTGACAGAAGATATTCTCTTCGCTCTAGCATGTCTCTCTGTCCCAACACAATCTGAGTTTGTACACAGGCTGCATATAAAAATAAATTCTGTGCAAAGTGTGTTTTTTTTTTATTCCTCTCCGTCAGAGAGAGTGGTTATACGTCGCTGTCCTCTTTAACAAGGTTGGCTGTGTCTTTGAAACTGTCCTCGGTTGGCGAGAAGGCGCTAGGTCGATCTTTCTTTGAAGGTTTTGCAGGGGGGGCAAATGGAGACGGCTCTGGGGCAGAAGAGTCCTCGCTGTTTCCTTCAGGCTTCTCATCCTTCATCTGTAAAAAAAAAATAATAATAAGTTTAGTGTATTCAATTTTTTTTTAAAGTATGGCATCAAAGGCTGCTGGGTTAAAACCTACCTCTGAATATGAAGGGTTTTCAAATGTTGTGCTTGGTTTCAATTTTCGTTTAAAAAAGCTCCACTTTGACTCCTGAAAAGAAAAACAACAAAAAAATGAAGTCAAAATTCTACTTTATTGTTTAAATGAAACAAATTCAGTATCACTGAAATTTAAGGTTTTCACCTGAGTAGGAAGGTTACTGACGGATGTGTTAACAAGACCTGCGCTCTGATCTGCGTGGTACACTGGGTTCACAAAATTGTTCAGCTGTTCACCGCTCATATTAACTGTCACCTGTTAATACAGGGAAAAGATGCATGGAGATGTAAAAAAAAAAAAAATGCTCTCCCCATTGAACATGTCAAATTAGTTCAAAAAATGGGAACACAGAAAGCTTAATATTAACAGATGTTTACAACTCATAACCAAATCAAAAATACCACTTAATTAAATACTATTATCGATTAAAAAGTTTTTTCTACATTATTATACATTTTTTTTAAGTTTATCCAGACTGATAAAAAATAAAGACAAATTGTGTTTACATAAACAATATTGTGGCTGAAAAGCTTAGTTTTATAAATATTTGCCCTTTTACAACAAAATGTATCTACACTTCACTTAAAAACGTTAAGTTAATATTTAATATTTAAAAGTTAATATTTTTCTACATTTTCATTTTGTTTGATGGGTTGTTTTAGGATCTGACTTTCCACTGGCGCAACCACAAGGTGGCAATAATGCTCAGATTTCTTTTTGCATTTAAACCTTTGAGACAGACAAAAACACAAAAAACACCACAATGATCTCATGTCTGCTCCTTACTGCTTAGCTGGGAAAAGATTATCAAGTAGAAAGTAGGGATGTCCTGATCCTGCTCCTCGTAGGGGTGAGCTATGAGATTTCTACTGCATTACTTCACCTCCACTTTAGCCAATGATAGTGAGATAAATATGAAGTCAAATCAGTTAAAACAGGAGGTAGTTTCAAGTCTTTTTTTTTTTTTAATTAATGTCCACTATAGTGGACATAAAATGGACCATATGGGCTTATATTCTTTTTTTGTTTTAAAAAAACTGTATCATTTTCTGGCACAATTGTAGAAACTTCCAAGATTCATGGATGTGGTGTTGGAGGCATTTAAAAGTTGCAGTGTGGTAACTAAATCACCTGTCTTATAGCCGGAAGCCAAAACCCATCCTGCATGCCCACTCCCACCGCTAAGGGAGGTTTAGAGGAACAAAACATGGGTCTATATAGGAGGAGAGAAGGTAGGGTACTGAACCCCTGTGTGATCCTGAAGACTCTGTCATTAATTTGACTTTATCTTGTTGGAGTGTATCTAGATTTATTTTTGGTTTCTTAATAGATCCCCATTTTGTCTTTTCTGACCCTTACTGTTCAGTGTTCTGTTCACTTTCTGTTTTCTTACCACCTGAGTTTCCCACTCTCCTGCAGGTTCTGGGTTTCTTATATCAAGGTGGGTTAGGTTTTTTATGCTGCTGTTTTCTTATTGCAAACTCAGCTGCTTCCACTCTGCTCATCAGTCACGTCTCTTTCTTGTTCATCTCATCGTTATCCCTGTTACCAATTCTCCTTTGATTGTGTAGTCTGCTCAGTTCTTTTTAAGTTTGCTCCATGTAATTCTGGCCTGCATTGTCTTCACTTAATGTTCCTGGTTTGCTTTTTCAATAATCAGTTTCATAAACTTCAGTTTACTCATTTTAGGAACTTTAGCTGTGTTTTTGTAATCCGCCTTTTTATCTAATTAAACCTGTTGGTTTTTGCTCAAACTCTGCTTCCCTTTGTTTGCATCTAAGTTCCCCTCAGTAACCCTCCTCCTTTGTGACTGACTCGATGCAGAGATCTGAAATCAGGACCTATTTCCTGCAAGGCAGCACCTCTAAATGTTGCACTGTTGTGTAATCCTTTATAAAACCAGAGTTTGGTTGCTGAGAACTAAACTCTTGATTGGTCAATCTGTGCTTATTATAATCGATATGGAACAACTCATAGCAAAAATGTAAAGATTTAGATTTGGAAAACTGCTTAGATTTGTGGATCCGTGATTTTGTGAATAAATACTCTTTATTATTTGAGAATATCAAATACACAATGAAAGCCATAAATTTGACAGCAACGCTCAAATAATAATAAAACAAAGCTTAAAACTGTATATTCCTATTTTATAAGATCAGTGCGTGTCAAATTATTTTAATCTCCGTAACTATTTACAAACTCTTATTCTAATTAATTCAATCAATCCTTGCATATAATTGCTGACCATCTTTATGCATGTTTCCACTGATACTTTGATCTTTCATCTTTGTTGATCAGCTCCATGCATTTAAGATTGGAATGCCTGTTTTCCAACAACCAAATCTAGAAATTCCTGTGTAAAATCTCCATCAGATTCCAGTGGGGACTCTGGCTGGACCAAAACAAAGATTTCCTCCTGTTATGAAAGAAAAATTCTATTGTATGAATATTTTATCTCTTGATATTAGCTTCATGTGACGTCCATTTTGTGGGATGTTCTGTTTATTTTCTGAGAGGTTCTGCAGCCAAACAGTCATGCTTGGTAAATCCCACTCCCTAAATTAATTGTTTATCTTCAGATCAATATTAGAATTAAATATCTGTATGTAACTCCAACTCCATTGAACAGCTGGAGCAATGATAAAGAGTATTTACCTGTGTAGCATGAATGACAGCAGGATCACCGGCAACAGGCGCAGTGGCATACAGGGGATTCTCAAATGTGATTGGGTGACGCCCAGCAGTGATGGCAAAATTATCATCCTATAGGAATATCATAAATTTGATAACATAATCAATAAAAAAAAATACTAATATTGAGCCTTTTCTTTTATTCTCATCACCCAAAGTCTGCTGCTGTATTCCTAAGGTGACGTTAAAGACTAAACTGCTTTAATAAACATCACAAATAACTTGTATAGATAAAAGTTGGTTTAAAAAAAATGTCTGACCAAACATTTTTTAGGGGCTCGATTTAACATTAACTCATCTCCAGGTCTCACCATCTGCAAGGCTGTGTCGATCACAGATACTCCAATGTTCGACGGTCCGAGGTCCACATCATCGCCAGACCGAAACGTCACCCCGTTCCCGTTGTCGGCTGATTTCACAAGGCTGCTGAGGCTGAAGAAAAACAAAACAACCCAACCTGAACTCTGATCTAAATACTCCGCTGTGACTCTAAGGAAAACCCAAAATCAAAATGAAAACGTGAAGCCAATCAAAATGATACCTGGGTAGTTTGGGCATAGAGGGGATAAAAGATCCTGTTCGTCTGTAGTTGAGGAAAACTCCGGCAGCTAAAGCTCCGGTAATCAGGATGATAATGACGGCCAACAGAACAGCAACCGCTAAAAGAAAACAAAGGAAAACAATCAAAAATGAGTTTCACTAAAGATCAGAGTTAGTGATAATTACTTCATATTCATGATTTCTTCTTGATCTCTTTTTTGCTCCAGAATATAAAACAATATATGACCTAGTAACTGAAACACGGCAGTGGATTTTGTTCCGTCTAAATTTCTTTTTAATCATCAGTGTAGCTGAATATGAAATCTTATAATTACCATATAAAAGAATCTATAGATATCAGAACACAACATTCCAGAAATGTAGATCTGTGCAATAAGACTCTGGTTGTATTCAGGCTTAAAACTGCTGTATTTGTTCACTAGTATTCATATCAAACTGAAAGGCCTATATCTAACCTTTCAGTGTAAATATATTTACTATTACACTGCTAATACATACGACCAATGAATTGCACCTGTAACAGGAGCAATAGTGTGCGAGTTCATCATTGTCTTTATTAAAAAATAAAAAAAACATTCTTAAATAATGCATCACTTTGTTTTACTCTAATGCATAAAACCTCCAAAGTGCAAGATATGAAAAATTTTACATTTCAAGCTATCTGAATAATTTACAGTGCAGTTTAAACAACAAAAACAACATTAAATGACTTACATATATAAACTTAAATATATACTAATGTCCTGTGTTTTTTTTTTTTTTTATAGAGTGCAGCGATGTGCTCAAGCATGAAGGAGTGGAGTTCTTTTCTGTGTGATGCCTTGACATCTTACTGACCCATGACTACATGTCCATGATCTTTTAGGTCAAGCAAGTTAGTTAAGGAAGTTAACCTTGGATTGACTGCAAGAACATTTAACCTTTTATTAAAGAAAGAATTTTTTGTTGAGAAAGTTCTCTGCAGCTGCTGACTAAGATTTTTCCTTGCTCTACATTAAAGTCTGCACTCATCAGGGTTTTCCTTTATCTGCTTCAACAGGGCAAGTATAGTGCAGCCATTCCCATCTAACACAAGAATGAGTATGCATGTCAATGTCAAACATGTCAATGTTTTTATCAGTAACTATATTTTTAAGAACATACTGACATAAAATAAGAAGCAAACAGTGGAAACAGGCCTAGTCCAAGTGTACAAAGGAATGAAAAAATAAATTACATCATATCACCCTCCAGGGGTGATATGATGTATATCACGAAGCAGGTTTATCGAAAACTCTAAGTTGTCTAAACCTGAAAACAGGTCAACTCTGACTGTTCCGGTTCACAAAGAGAGTTTCCTCAGCCTCTGTTTCAGTAACCGTAGTAACTTTCTCCCCAGAGCTAACCTGGTCGGTAGCAGGTTTTTTTCAGTAGACTCAGAGTGTCCTCTGTCTCCACTCTCACTACAGCCAATCATGCTGTTTTATTTCCTGATTTTGTGTGATTTTTGTCGTAGTTTTGTGTATATAAAAAAGAAAAAAATCATTAATTAGGTCCGTTACACACATTGGTTTTTAAAAACAAATATTACATGTCTGTTTGATGAGGATCCTATTAAAGAATGAGCGGCACTTTTTCACAGATAATTAAATATTTATAGGTAGAGGATTCTACCTCTCAGTTGACAGGATATGAGATTACTTGTTTTTGGTTTGTTTAATATGAGCGAGATGCAGATCATTTTATTTTTATTTAGTTATATAGACAGTACATGAAGAACTATTGAAATTATTTTCAGATTACACATAAATAGATTAATTAATTCTGAGGGGGTAAAGGAATTACTTTAGGGTTAGGATTAGGATTCACTCGATGATAACAACATAATGAGCCTGCTGGCACAATCTGAAGTCATTCTATGGGACTGATAACCGCTAATAATGACCATTTATTGGGATGATAACATCCAAGGCGCAGCTGGAAACAGCCACTTTACTGTGTAAAAGAAGACTGAATCAACATGAGGGACACATGAGATCATCCACAGGTTCTATATATTAGAACAACATTTTTAGACTTTATTTTCACCTGCTGCCAGAAGATTTCACCTAAATAGAAACATTGATCTATTGCCATTCAAGAAGTAATCCCGTAATATCATCACAGTAACAACACCTATGGCAAGCCACATCTAGAATAAACATTTTGGATGTCTAGAAATTAATTCCAGATCTTTATATTCATATCATATTCACATTTTCAGTTAAGTTGATAAATGTCAGAACGGCCACCTAAAATGTGTAAATATTTCTAGATATATAAAACTTAATTCTCACAAGTTTTTTTACTTTCTAAAATTCAATTTCTGTGACAAAAATTTAATTTAGAAAGTATGTTATTACAGTTAGGTCTAGGAGTGTCATTTTGATCAGGAAGAGTCTTGTTTTAGTGATCTACAAATTGAACAACAGAGGGAAGTGCTTTTAATGTATGTAAAAACGGCCCACTTCATATAAACCAACAACAATCTTTTTCTTCGCCATCTTCCTCTCATTTGTAGCAATAGAGCTGTTTCTCTGTCTTTTAAACACAGTCTCCTTTTTTACTCTATTTTTTTTTTTTTTTTGCATTTCTTCATTCAAATCTCTAGTTCCAGTGGGGTGAAATAGGCACTTCCTGTTGCCTGTTGTCATGGTGACTCTTCGAATCGGTGCACCACTGATAATGGCTTTTTATACTTGTTGCGCATGTGCTTAACTCTGAGTGGAATTAGTTAAATGTGAAACCGAACACTCAAGAGTTCCTGACTTTTGGCCAGATCAATTTAGAGTTGAAGATTGGAATCTGAATTTGTTAAACCTGCTTTTTGAAATGGAACCCAGGAGGAGGCATCAATCTTTACACCATGTTTGATGAAAGAATGGCACTGTATATACCAAGAGGAATCACAGTAGGTAGATTCAGAGAAGGAAAAGCAAGTCAAACAACTGATATGAGACTGGTTGGAAATGTGTTAAAAACAAACTGCACATAGGATGCAACTGGAACCCTATGACATAAAAAGAATAAGTATAGTAGAACATTTGGAGCTCACATCTAAACAATGAATGATAACTGGTTTCTACACTTGTAGACATGTTTACAGCTATACTCACAGCTTAATCTGTACACCCGTTTGTTTTAATTTCTGTATAATATGTGGATTACCTGGCTTTCTATCAATATCCAGTGTGCATTTAATCTCAGTTGCTTAAAAAGTGTTACTTGCACAATGGAAAATGTAGCATGTGTGCCAAATTATGCAGAAAGGATTAATTCTAGATTGTTAGATTTTATATAATGCATATATTGCTATTTGTACAGTATCGGCCAGCGTTGGCCACAAAACCAGGTCAATATTGAGAACCGGTATTTATTTCCATGTAGTCTTGGCCATAATGATAGTATTAGTATTGGAAATTGATATCGTTACAGATCACTTCATATCGTGTCTCTATATTTTTGTATGGCCACATTTGCAATATAAAAAAAGGGTTATATGAAACTTTAATATTGTACCTGTACCAGCTGGAGCACCTCTAGACTTCCCCATCTCACAGTAGCTACCAGTGTAGCCATATGGACATCTAAAAAGTCAAGATGATTAAATTCAATAATGTAACATAGTGCAATGGTAAAGTTTCTTTGCATATTCAAATATAACAACATTCCAGACGCCCTAAAAATGTCTCCTACAGCTACACTCACTTGCACTTTGGCAGACCCCCTTCATCGGTGTAGCAGGTTCCACCATTCATGCATCTGCATGCAAGAGGCATGGCAACAGGAGCCTCAATGGCTGTAGAAGCAAAAGCCGAGCATACAGAGGATGAACACCAGCACAGTGAAAACACAACAAACATGAGCAGCCATGCGGTACATTGGGAGAAAAAGGTGCATGAATGCAAAATAAGATGCCACATCAATGCAAACACAAGGCAGCGGATGGAAGGAGCGATCCGGCCACTGTCATTTACCTGCATCACACTCTGTTGATTCAGCATTTAGCGGAGGGGAGCCTTGTGGACAGGCGCAGGTGTACCCTCCAGGCCGGAGGAGGCAGAGGTGACTGCAGACATTCTTACATGGGTTGGACACTAACAAGGACAGAGCATGCATAATCCGTTTTCAAAACACTGTTCTACATCAGTACATTTGATTATTTATTCGGCTAAACATCAAACATTAGTTAGAGTTAAAATATGTTTGATTCAATGTTAACTTTATAAGGGGACCAGGCATTTGCATATTCTCTAAACGCTTAGACTAGAGCATCTCATTCAACTGTGGTATGTAATCTACAGGCATATTTAGACATCTTGAGGCTAAATTTTCTTTTTTTTATATGTTTTTTTTTTATTGTTTGATCCTATAATGTAATCGTAAATGCTGGTTTTTACTTGCTGTATGCAGAAAATCATCATAGTTAAAAAAAAAGGGCTTGGTCTGTATAATTAAAGTTTTTTTACTCAGTAAAATAATATAACAGTGGTGATGTCACCAGCCCTCTATTAGTACAGTAAGGAGTTTATTCAGACCTGACTGATTGTGCCGATGCTCCTGGTAAATACGGACTTGTGTCAACCAGGGGTTGATTGTGAGGACTTTAACTTTATTTCCTTGCCCAAATTTGTTTGTCTTCCACACCTCTCCTTTCTCTTTAGTTGTCCAGTACACGTGTCCTTCAAAGACATCCAGACTGTAGGGATTTCCAATATCTAAAGAAAATCATCTATTAGGATCAGGGTTTTCCATTATACTCGCTAAAAAATAGAATAAGTTTCACGTTTCTGACCTCCTGATATGACAATCTTCCTGTCTGTGCCATCGGGCTTCATGGACTCAATGATATTTTCTTTGGAGTCACACCAGTAGATTCTGTGTCCATTAATATAGTCCAGTGCCAGCCCAGTAGGCCATCCTAGGTCTTCCTCCTTCACCAGGACCTCTCTGTGTTGCCCGTCCATCCATGCTGCCTCAATTTTGGGATTCTTCCCCCAGTCAGTCCAGTACATCATCCTGCTCAGAGATAGTTACTGTATATAACAATCAATTTCTGCAAACATGATGGAAACACAGGCTTTTAATGCAACACTTCCTACCCTAATGATGGGTTGACAACGATAGCTGCCGGCTGGTCAAGCTCGGTATAGATCAGCCACTTCCTGTATCGCCCATCCAGTTTAGCCACTTCAATTCTGTTGGTTCCTGAATCTGTCCAGTAAATATGTCTGTGGAGAGTGGCTTTAAATGTGATGACCTGCACCAGCTGTTTCCAGAATAAAATGTGATAATTATGTTTACTTACCTGCCAACCCAGTCTACGGCGATGCCCTCAGGTTTGGCAAGATAACGCAGGTTCAAGTCCACTTCTTTCACTGGGTTGTTCCCATAATCATTGAATGTGGTCATGTAGGCGCGCTTGATGGAGCCGAACTGAGAACCCCGACCGAGAACTGTCCAGTAAACAACACCTACAGACCACAAGGGAAATGTTTCTCTACCTGGTGACCTTTGTATTTAAAAGCAGAGCCATCCAACTCCAGTTCTGCATGCATGTCCAGGCTGAACACCAGCGACACACAAGGACTGATGTTGAAGACGCCTACTGTAAAGGAATAGACTTACTGAGGCCTTCTCCCTCTGGATCCCACTGGTAGTCCAAGGCATGAATGTGCTCGGCATTGTCCACATAATCCGAATACTGCTCAGAGGACAGATTAAAACGTCGAATACGGATATTGTCTGGCAAGAGTAGCACCGGAGGATTTCCTACACAGAAATTGAATTTTAATAAATTATTTATAATCTAAAAAAAAAAAAGGAAAACATTTTTTTTTGCCAAACTTTTACCTTGAGCAGCGCATTCAGTCCCATGTGGCTCACCAAAAGACAGAAAGCCTTCAGCACAGAAACATTCATAGCTGCCTTTTGTGTTTTTGCACTCCTGAGGACACGTTCCAAACACCTCACACTCATTCACATCTGCTCGCCCAGAAAGGAGGAGATAACAAGCATTTAAAACTGTGCCAGTTTAACAGAAATCTACTGAGTGAAGGGGAGCGGGTTACTCACCTTCACAGGTATGTTTCTCTGTGGCCTTGGGCCTGTAACCGGGTCTGCACGAGCAAAGGAAGCCTCCTTCTGTCAGGTCGGTGCAGTTGTGTTCACACATGTTTGCACTACATGTATGTTCATGACCTGCATCTGAAACCAGTGCACCCAGTGATAAATATGGAGAAAATTTAGAGGCAACAAAATAATCTGGATTAACTATGGAGTCAGAAACATAGAGATCTTTATTTTCTAGTTTCATACAGAACAGAGTTTTATTTTTTATGTCCTGGTGCCTGTGTAGCTACAATACAATGTAAGATAAAAAACAATAGAGTTAATTAATAATTTGTTTGGAGAAAAGAATGAAGGATTAGCTGACTTATAACTAACATTGTACTCTCTAGCTTGATAATTTGGTTTACCTACGTTGAAAATGAATTTACTTCAACCTTTCAGTTCTAAAATTGCCTATAATATATGATTTCCTTGGCAAATATCAAATAAATGCCTTATTATTTGAAATCTTACTGTCAGGGTTCTGCTCTCTGTAGTTGTTTTCTGTCTGTTTGGTATTTCTTTAGTTACTCTCTGTTGCCCCCTTGTGCCTGTTCCTTCCCCTTGGCTCCCTTCTAGTTGTCCTTATTCACACCTGCTTCATATCAGCTCATTAGCCCATCCTTTTTTCCGTTCCCCATATATACACCACCTCTGCAGTTCCTGTTTGCTGTTTTTTTGTTGTTTTGTTGCTCCCTATGTGTATTTTCCCTGAAATTTACAGGATTTTGTTTGGTTTTTCGTATTTTTCTAGATTTTTGCCTCAGTTGCCTGTTAGTCCTTAATTAAATCACCTAAACTCATCTCTGCATTTGGGTCCTCAAAGCCTCTACCCAACCTGACATATCTAAATTTAAAAAATCAAATCAAAAATCAACATCAAATAAAGACTATTTGTAGTAATTGGGCTAAAAACTCTAATAGTGAGCACTAATCCGATCACTACAAAACATATAAACTAAACTGCAATCAATAGGCCATAGGTTTGATAACAGCCTGTGATAAATAACATCATCCTCTGTAAAAACAAAGTAACACTGAAAGATTACAAATGCTTAAATAATCTGAAAATTATCTTGATGTATATAGAGAAGATAGATTTTGATGAGATAAGACAATAATGAATTAATTTCACAGGAGCTAATCCTTGTTTTTCATGGGAATATCCAAGATGTTCACAGTAAAATTGTCAATTTAGCAAACTAAATTCTGTTTACCACAAAGTGAAGATATGTAAGTTGTTCACATATTCTAGTTTAAATATGGTCAATATGTTCTTTTTTAGGTTTAATCATTTTGAATAATGTAATTTAAATAAAAAAAAATATTTGTCCAATTAAAATAACATTGAAAAGTTCAACTAATTCTGTAAAAGGAAATGCTACAGTTGATTTTTAGTGCAGCAATATTAGAAATCTGCTATATTAGGTGCAGTTGACATTAATAAGATATTATTTTTGTTTTATGGTATTTTTTATATTGACTTACGGCAGCCAAGCTCATCTGATTCGTCTCCACAGTCGTCATAATCATCACATGCGTACTGTATGGGGATGCACTGTCCATTACTGCATTTATACTCCCCATCTGCACAAGGTCCATGTGTGGGTTTTTGACCTGCATGGAGCCAATGGGTAAACAGTGACACGGATGCTATCATATGTAAATAAAAACACTGGAATAGTGAGGCTTAAAAGCAAACAAGTTATTAGGTCAGCCATCATATTTGTAACTGAGGGAATCGTACTCACAGTTTTCTGGTCTTTCATCAGAACCATCACCACAGTCATCAATAGAGTTACACAGCTCAGGGCTGTAAATGCAGCGGTTGTTATCACACCGGAAACGGAATGGAGCCTCACAATCGATGTCCACTATGAAAAAACAGAACCATTACACCTAAAATTAAGGTGTCAGTTCAAAATAAATATAAATGATTCATGGGATGTTTATCTAATCGCAGCAAAAAGCAAAACTGCTGTTTTTTTTTGTTTTTTTTTATTTACAGCAGAGATGCAGCTCCTCGTCAGAGTTGTCTCCACAGTCATTATCTCCATCGCATTTCCATTGGGGCTGGACACAGATGTGGTTCCTGCATTCAAACAGGAACGGTGGGCAGTATGTGCCGTTGGGAAAGCGGGTCGCTGGAGGAAAGAACACTTCTGTCAAACCCCTTTAGCACCAGAATATCAGCTATGACATGTCTTTTTATCTTAGGAATTCAATTTCTTAGATAGATGTAATATTGAGTTTTGTCCTTGTTTGTCCTAACTGGTCCAACTGAGAAATGTTAACACCTAGACCTTTCAAACCTAGACTGCAATAATCTAAACCAGGAGGAGAATCTTTCAAATCCACTTTGTGATTTCTAAATCTTTTTTTTTCCGTTTTTATTTATGGAAACACTTTATTTACATTTTTACTGGAAGTTCTACGTGGCTATTTTAAGTTCCTGTCCATATTTTACATTTCTTCAACTTTTCAACCCTTTAAAGGTATTGTGGAGGATTTTCGCAAATTTTTTAAAAGACCCGCCCTGTCCACTTTTTTAAAAATGCACGTGTAAGAGCATGCACAAGCCCATTTCTCCTTGTGCACGCTCTATTTAAAAGTTGCTGTTCTCATAGCTCATACAAGCTTAATCCCTCAATCACTATATAGAATGGGGACTGTATAGTGGAATTTATTGTGAACTAATTTTTCACTGGACTTGGTTTCCAAGTTTGGAGATGTTTCGCTTCCCCTCCAGGAAGCTTTCTCAATTTAAATGAGAAAGCTCATAATATTTCAACAAACAATTTCACACTTGGCTCCGAATTCCTCAACATTTCAGTCACTATCCTTCAGCCTAGATTTTTTCTTTAACCAAATAAGATTTCAGTTTCTCCATATTCATTTTTCTGCTGTTGCAGCTAATCTATTAGATCTCAGCAGGTTTCATATAGTCAACTTTGGCTAGATTCCTCCATCTTTCAGGGCAGGTATTTAGCTTTTTCTGTTTCTCACTAATTCGTGACATATCAGCCATGTTTCTGTTGGTGACTTCAGCTTGCTTCTGCTACTCCTCAGGAAAGAAATTATGCATTCCTATTTTATACTATTTCATACAATTTTAGCCATAGTTTCTTCAATTTCACTTTGTTTCTGCCATTTTTTAACTTACAATTTAGCGTACAGCATTTGGAGCGTGTTGCAGTGCAGTGCAACTTTTTCTAGTTATTATTCAACTGTTCTTGTTTTTCCAGTTGAGTTCTTCTTCAATCTCCTGGCTGTTTAACCATTTTTCAGACCATCTACATATATGCTTGTTTGAGTATTAGTGTTTGCACAGTTTGTTCGAAATGTAAAAATGCTTTCGTTTTCATTAGCCTTTGACAAGTCACACAATTTTTTTTGTACAACCAAAATACTACAGAAACAGTTGCGTCTTTCTTATCTTACAGTAACAGACTTCGTACTTTGTATTTAATTGGGATTTTACCTGAGAATTCAACACAAAAAGTATTTTTTAATTGAAAATTGCCCATTAATCTTGCAAGAAGGTCATAAAATATTTTTTTGCAGTTTTGCACAAGCTGACTAGGGTAAAATAAATAGTGTGGAAAAAATATTTTGGTTACATAAGACCAAAGTTTAACTATTTGCCGAAAGATAAATAGCTGAAGGTGTAAAATAAACTACATCCCTAAAAACACCATCCACATAATAAAGCATGATGGTATTGAAGCATTATTCTCGTGCAATGCTTTTCTTTGGCAGAGACATGGAAGTTTGACAGGGATGAAGGCAGACCAAGTAAAGCAAAGGATGAGGTTCACCTTTATAGAGCATAAAACCCCTGAAAACACAGCTGAAGTTACAATGAACTGGTTTAGAGGAAAGTATATCATGTTTTAGAATGGGCCTTTTAAAGTTTTCCCTTAAATCCAGTTAATAATACTTGGAGAGAAGTCCACAGATCCAACTGACTGGCTTGGCCTGTTTTGCCTTGAGCTACAGTAGAGGTGTTTCTGTTTGTGTTGCCCTGGGGTAACTGAATACAGCTGCACCCCACTACTTCAGAATGCAATGATGCTCCACTTCTGTTGGTCCATCAAATAAATCAGGACGTAGTTATGTCATGCAAGATGTGAGAAAGTGGTGTAAAAATGTTGACAATGTATTGATCAGCTCTGCACCAATAAAAAGGCAGAATAACAGCATGGCACTCACGGCATGACGTCTCATCGGTGTAGTCCAGACAGTCGGCATTGCCATCACATTTGAAACGTTCAGCTATACAGTGTCCACTCGCACACTGGAAGTAGCCAGGAAGACACGACCGCAGCTCTGCTTAACAAAAAAAAAAAAGCGGTTAAGATAACATGTAGGTGTATAATTGCTTCCAAGACAACAACCATTCTTTTTTTTTTCCTAATTTATTTTATTCCACAGTTAGTGTAACTTATAATTTGATGTTTTACACCAGTTTTCTGCCCTGTGGAACGTGCACACTGTTGCCCTGCATTGCAACAGGCTGCATAATCTCCTCCTCAATAAGCATCCATTGGTGGTCCAGTTCGTCTGGCCTTCAGAATCCAGGTTTTGAGGCTTCTTTGTCTAGCGATGCCCTTCGTTACTCACAAACAGCCAGATCCAGAACCAAAACAAAGAGCCTCCACTTACCGCAGTCCCTTTCATCCGAGTTGTCCTCGCAGTCGTTGTCATGGTCACAGACCCAACGGTTGGGAACGCATCGTAGGTTGTCACAGCGATACTCACTCTCGGTGCATGAGCGGGGCGCTGGGGGAAAACAAAGAGTTAAAATCATGCCTTCACAAAATGTGGTTTACTTTACAGAAATCTGCAAAAAAATAAAAAATAAAAATTAGACTTTTCTCATGAGCTTTATCGTCAAATTTAAACCAATAAATTAAAAACAATTATTATGGCCTTTTTTATTTTGATGCTAAGTAAATAGAAGAGGCCTTTTAAGAAACTTAAGGTCCATCATTATTGTTTGAAAAGCAGCAATACACTCATTAGCTGGGAGGTTTGAAGTCTTCAGGGCAAAGGGTAACAGACTCCTTCATTCCCTCCTTTTTACAAACTGAGGACATCCTGTTTTTACAGGTGCTGATAAGACTTCCTCTTACACTACTAAACCCTGAAGTCAAAAACTTCCCCAAATACTGGATTATATAACTGCAAAACTGTAATTTGCGCACATTAGCCTTTATCATTTATACAATTCCTGTACTAGAATAAGCTGTAGCTGAACCTTTTTCAGTTATTTTATGGAAGAGTTAGTGCAAATATTCAAACATTCTTTATGATGATTCATCAACTCGCTCCCCCCCAAAAAAGAAAGAAAGAAATACAATAACAGCTGGCTGCAGGTTTGTAAAAAATGTACTCCATTTTCACTAGAGGGGAGTGGTGGCCTAGTGGTTAGTGCATATAGCTTTGAATCCTGAGGTTGTGAGCTCAAAACCAACTCCTCCACACTGCTGCTCTGGCTCTCTAAGCCCTTAACACCCGATTGCGCCCCGTGATGCTCAAGTGATGGTTTAAATGCAGAGGTACATTTTTCCAATGTCAGATTAGTAATTTGTTTATTTCTTTTTCCTCAGCTGTTAAACTCTATAAAAATTAGAAAATCTGGACTATATAAATACTGTTTCTATCTGCAGTGTGTAATGTCAGAAAACTGGCCTAAAACATTGGCTGAAAGAAGAAGCTCAATAACAGCATCTCCTGTAAAAAAGAAAATAAAAAAAGATATAAAATGTATTTATTTGTATTTTTGTACCAGTTTTATGCTTATATAAAATATCAGTATGGTAAAATAAATAAGAGTGAGAAAAAAAACATTTTTCAACCACTATTACCTTTTTTAATCCATTTCATGACTAAGAAAATAGATTGAATTTAATCTAATTCTTTTCTAGACTTTTCAAGACTCTACATACCTGTATAATAGGTCCTTACATAAACCATCAGATATCCTTATATGCTGTTAGGTTTGTGTGTTTGTCTAAATACAGTCAGCATCACTCACTGCAGCTGCGCTCATCTGAGTTATCACCGCAGTCGTCATCCCCATCACACCTCCATCTCAGTGGGATGCAGCGGTGATTGTCGCAGCGGAAATCCCCGGTAGGATGACAGGTCACCTCCTCTGAAAGAAGAGAAGAGGGATTTTTAGAGCTCTTTAGATTTCCATATTCAAACGTTAACAAAAACATTTAAGTGATCTTAAAATCTTTAGAATTTATTTTATTTTTTTTTTATAATGAGCAGTGCTCCATATTCAAATACTTAATATAAGAAAACTACCAAATACATGCCTACTGCTGCATGTTCATGCAGTTACCTCATGGGGGAGCTCCACACCCCTCGTTATTGTTCACTTCAACATCTATAAAGACATGCTCTATCTTTCCTCAGTTGAACAATAAACAGCAATGAAACTTTATCCAGTAATGTAAGTCAAACACTGAAGGAACAACACTTTGTAAAAATAACTACACCTAAATAAGGGGACTTTGACCAAGCATCAATATGTGACGAGTGAGAATGTGTTGGTTCAACATATCTATTTAAGAATTGGTATTGTATTAAAATGCTTCATATCTTAATATTAATCAAATAAGTTTAAACAACATGTTCATTTTTTTCTTTAATCGTTGATGATTTCTTTGAAGACTTATTTCGAGCCTATAAACACAACTTTTTTCAGAGGAATGTTTTGTTGTCGTTTTAAGCATTTTAACCCCAACCTTTGAATCATTCAGGCAAAAAAGGGTTCCTAGACCTGAGAAATGAGATGAAACTCAGTGGTATGTTGACAAGAAACAGACACAAATCACCAAAGAAACGATTCTATAATCTGGATCTTAAAGCACTCTGCTCCCTGCAGACTCTCACAAAGATAAAAGATGTGATTTTATCCTTTGAATATGCAGCGTGACAAGAGGAAGGTGGTCCAAAGTTTTACAAAAGTTATGAATCAAAGAAGACAAAAACTTCTTTAATGAGATTGTATCTCATTTAGATGCAGAGAGTATTAATCCTGCTGCTGCACCCTGTGGCTTAGCTGGCTGAAAGAAGCTGATCCGGTTTATCATTAGATACAAGAAAATTATTTAAAGTGTTTTGGAAATACATCAACAGTCATGGTTGGGAAACTGATCTGCTATTTTTATTCCTATGTTATTATAGACAAGAACCTAAGAAACAATGAAAAATAATACTGCTACAGAACTTACAAGGTTTTTTTTTCTACACTTTTTTGATTAAGTCTATGTATCAAAATAAAATAAAAATTTCTACAATATTTTTACCAGTGAAACTTTAAACTTGTTGAACAAAAAATAACAGCAGCAGGGGACATTGTGGCTTTTCAGTTTTAAATCTAAAGAACCAGGCTAAATGTCCAGCTAAGTTAAATCTAACTTCTTTATTTTTTTCAGCTCTAATATATGACTCCAATCCTTTTGCACCAAAACGCTGCCGAACATTAACACTTTCAAACTTATAGTATAGGGAAGAGGTCATGCTAATCCGGACCCAAACTGATGGAAAACATTTATAAATTACTGCATGTTGTCCGACGACAGTGTCTAACTTCACTTGCGCCGCTTCTCCTGCCAATATGGTAAAGCCCTGCGGAGCATCCGGCACCAGGCTGCACATGATACAAATATTAGCCAATGAGCTTTTGTCAGTCTGGGTTGCTGCTGCTGCTACTTTTAGACACAGCAGGCAAACCTGTGGCAAGCCGGGCGATGGGAAAGAAGGAGAAGATTATGAGAAAAAGAGAGCAGAGAAAGTGTGGACTGCTGGAAGAACTGCGGTGAACTGGTGAAATAAAAGTGAAAAGACGTGCTCAAAGATGACCCTGCACATTTTGAGTAAGTTTGGCTTAACCTACTGCTGTGAAGCAGGATTCTCCACCATGAACAGAATCAAAAATAAGTATGGATCCAGGCTCACGAATGAGCACCTTGATATGTGCTTTAGAATGGCTTTGTCTCCATTCAAACCCAGGTTTAAAGCCTTGCAGGGCGGCCTAAACAAAAACAAACGGTTAGTACCAAACTGAAAGATTGTTCTTCTCTACTTCAAAAAACACTTCAGATTTTCCAGATTTAAAATGGAAAAAAATCTCAATTTCTATTTCTTATATATATTTTATTTAAAAAGTCAATGTATAACATGGTTGCATAAACATCTTATTTTATTTTAAATGTTAAATGCCGTTTAAAAAAAGAACAGAAACAAAAAACTGAAATGTTAGAACTGTAAATATACAGTCATATGTTTATATTACTGTTTTCAAGGCTGCACTTAAAAAAATGAAATTTTCTAGAGAGCTGTTTTTTAATTACATTTATTTTTGTTTACTCTTGTGTATAGAAAATGACAAAATAAATCTGTCTAAGTTCAAAATAAAGGATAATAATGAAAAATGTCTCCGGACCTTTACTGGACGTTACTATACAGACACATTTAAAGACACTTTAACAAACTACTGAAATTAGAAGTGTCAAGAATAATTTTAAAAACAAATAAACTGTCGGATTTAAAGAAAAATAACCTTATAGGTGTTCATATACTTTTTGTAAACGTGTACCAAATACAAACAAGAAAACCCTTAAAACTCAAAGAAAAGCAATGATAAGACTTTAGACCAAGTCATTTTGCAATTGGAAAACTGGGGCTCAGTTATTTCAGTCTCAACTGAACTATATTTCCTACACTAGCACTAGCCAAAAAAAAAGTTTTTTTTTTAATGTAATTTCAAATTACGTTAAAAAAAAAGCTAATCTTTAAGGAACAAGCTTTCAAAGCTGACACATTTCAGTGATGAAAATACCCAGGCTAGCACCGTCAACTAAAGTGTGGGTCAGAAATGAAAGAAAGCTGATGTTTTAATTAAAACTCAAAGGTCTAAAAGGGAGGAGGGCAGACTGCCACAGACAGATGTGTGAGCTCTATTCATGCCAGTACAGCGTACGTCTGAGGCGGATAAGACTGACGGAGATGAGAACCACAGAAGGCAGAGGAGTGAAACAGAGCTGGTCTGAGCTGTCTCTACCACACACTGCCGGGGGGGTAAAAGATAGCGTGGTGTTCAGGAGTCCTGCCCTTATAGCCCTCCACCTGGCCCATCCTCTGCATTCTTACAGGAAGATTAGCACAGATATCCCCTCCTGTGCAGGCATGGCACTAATGGAGTGAGGGTCTGTGATAAGAGACGGGAGGGCGGCAGCAGAGTGTATTTGGATCGCAGCGAGTACAAAGAGACATATATGAACCCTGCCCCCACGCAAGGACAGAGCACACATACACACATATATGTTGTCTCACACCAATAGACAGCTCATAAATCTGCACTGCTTCCAGGGAGAGATAAATTATGGGGGAGGAAGAGTGATGAGACGATCTCCATCAGCGCCCCCCCTTCACCACAGTTACACAGGAGGCTGAAGGCTTTTCTAATTGCTTTTATTCACTCCAAAAGAATTTTCTGTAGTAATCTAAGATTGATAAAACGAGAACAAATACAACATGGAAACTAAGGAGCCCATGAAGAGTCTACGTTGTATTAGAAAGGATGTGAACAAGACTTACCGCAGCCCTGCTCGTCGCTGTTGTCTCTGCAGTCGTTGTGGCCGTTGCAGACGGACCACAGCGGCACACACCGGTAGTTGGTTGTGCAGTCAAATTCTGTGTGGTTATCACATCGATAGGCTGGACCCACTGTGGAAAACGCATAAAAGCACATTTATAGAAATGCCCAGCACAAACAAAGGCCCAACAGTTCCCTGTTTAAATCGAGTGAGCAGAGATGCACTCCCTTTTTATATCTGTACTGTAGGTGAAACTCATATTTTGTAGGTCAGAATATCGTGTGAGGTAAACATGCAGAGTCTTCCAGAGGTACTCATACCCTTAGTTCCAATCAAGAAATCAACAGTTTTTATTATTGGGATTCGAGATCATATGATGTTTATAATACATCATAGTCCAGAGAGTAGATGCCTATTGCGATGATGGACAAAAACACAAGGCCTGCCCCATGTTTAAAAAACGTGCCCCATGTTTAAAAAACGAAAGTGTGACAAACATCACCCCAAGCAACATAGAGGAATCAAAAAACATGTAAGATGATGCTCTAGGGTTAAACTGTAATGTTTTAGCTCAACGGCAAAATATGTTCTGTGGAAGTAAACTAACCACTTATCACCATGAACTCAACATTCCTACTGTGAAACCTTGTGTTGGCAGCATCATGCTGCGAGGGTATGCTTCATCAGCAGGAACAAGGAAATTAGTTATGGAAAATGGGAACGTAAATGGAGCTAAATACAAGTTGCTCCTTGAGGAAACTCCAGAAACATGCAGCCAGAGCTGCAATCGAATGTTCTTGATCAGGTTTCTGTAACATTTGCATCCATAGAAGCATGGAGCTTTTGAGGCCCTGCATTGTAACATCTTGGTATCAAAAATTAAATAGACCTCACCAGTATTTTCAACTATGAAGCTAACTATATTGAATGTTTAATCAGTTTTGGTATATTGTAATGAAATCTATTCATAGAATTTTCACAACAGGGTTATAAACCAGAAGGCGGACCCTAAACTAAACCAGACACTGAGGATGGTTTAAAATTATTATTTGTGAGTCAGAATCAGTGAGAATCAGTGAGAATGGAGGGAAACAGGAAACCTGTGAAATAGCAAACAAGAAAATAAAAAAAGACCAGGATTAAGAGCATATTCCAGATTTTGTGCCTCTTCAGGATTCAGTTTCTCATTAACCTGCACACTTCTTCAGAGGGAAACAAGGAAACAGCAGGAAAGGCTAATAACGTCACAACCGGTGAAAGGAAAAGGCGTCCTGAGCAAGTGTGATTCGATACCCACGTGTTCAACAAAAGTTCCAGAGTTCCCTCAGAATTAAATTGCATTATCAGGGAGTAAAGCAAGAGGCAGGCAGGCAGACATTGCACATGAGGAGGAATGGATCAGATTACTTATCTCTGAGTTTTGGGCACTCAGCAGATAAGGACAAGTATAAAAATCCAGGGCACAGAAATATGCTCTTAAATGGATCGATAATAGACAAGGAAGCTGGTTGATTATCCACAGGCAGAAGCTTTTGATTGTCAGACAGAAAACAGAAAATTAACGGGCTCATATGTAAGGAAAATCACACAGAATAGGGGAAGACCAACACGAAATCTAACTAACGGAATGATACTAATGTAATGAGGATCTGCTTTTGTTATGCTGCAAACTGTCAGCTTTTTCATTCAATTTTCCCTAATTATAAAAATTGTCCATAAAAAAAGCATTATTTGCTGTTACTCTTAAGTGCTTTGCTTTGTACCAAGAAAGTCCAGGGTGGATTTTTATACTCTCCCTATACGTGTGTGGATTCTCTGTGTATTGCAATGTCCTCACAGAATAAAAACATATATATTATGTAGGTCTTAGTGTTTTAATAATGGTTGCTTATCAATCAGCATTTTTGCATTTGAGGGGCTCTGTCTAAATCCTGACATATCCAATTAAAAATAAGCAGCAATACTAAAATACAGATTTAGCCAATCCGACTAAGTTTGAGCTAAAAGGTAAAGAAGAATAGGCAAACATTGAATTCTACTAATGTGCAAAGCTGGTGGGAAAATAACCCAAAAGCATTGTTAGAATCATTGGCACAGAAGGGTGGAAAACAAATAGATGCCCCACATTTCTGAATTGTTCTTGTCCAATATTTTGAAAAGCATATTTTTATAATGATGCCGTACATTGTGCTGCATAAAATGCATAAAATTCTAATAAAATCCTTATGTGAAAAAAAGAAAGATGAATGTAGGTAAGTTGCTTACTGCACTCCTCCAGTGGCTCGTCTGAATTGTCACCGCAATCATCATCAACATCGCATTTCCAGTTCTGTGGGATGCAGCGGCCGTTGCGGCACTTGAACTGCCCTGGGCGACACGTCCTGGTGGAGCAGTGGACAGGGTCCTCGTCAGACTGATCACCGCAGTCATCTTCACCATCGCACTGCCAAGACTCAGGAATGCAGCGCTTATTCGCACACTGCCACTGATGGCTTTCACACTGATGGGTAGCTGAGAGGAAGGCAGTCAAATAAGAAGAAGATGAAAAATAAACAAGAATAAGTTGAGTACAAAAGGGATATACTTATCTACGTAACCAGTTAAACCACCTACCACAAAGCACAGCATCTTCATCAGAACCATCAGGACAGTCCTGGTGGCTGTTACAGAGAAAGTGTGAACTGGTACAGTTTCCATCATTGCATTGAAATTGGCCAAGGCTGCAGTGGCGAATCGGGCAGGTAGAGGGCTCATCAGAGCCATCTCTGCAGTCCCTCTGACCGTCACATTTCCACCAGATAGGGATGCAACTGTTGACACAGAGCGAGACAAACCCATGTTGACCAGAAATTGATAAAAAAAAAAAAAAAAAACTAACAAACTCTTATTAGATTAGATTAGATGATTAGATTCAACTTTATTGTCATTGCACATGTACAGGTACAAGGCAACGAAATGCAGTTTAGGTCTAACCAGAAGTGCAATAGCAGCAAGTGCAGGATAAATAATGGTTTCATAAATATAGGACATGGGTTTCCACTGAATGAGTATAGAGATGAATACCATTATAAATAATGAATATAATATATAGATCACTAGTGTTATGAACTATTTGATTTACTGTAAAACACAAAGCTACAGGGAATATATTTGAAAGGCTAGTTACCGTACTATAAAGTTGATAAACTACTATAAGGTTGTTGAAAAAGTTAATTACATGTCACAGGTGTTGGAAGACTGAGCAGATGTTAGCCATCTCTGTCTCTGAGAAACTATTAGGTTTCCAAAAAATTTTCAGTGAGGCAGCATTTTTTTAACAGGTTAGTGAGCCATTACTGAAACATCTGGAGAACGTTACCTTAAAAAACTTTTAGGAGGGTTGCTAATACACTCTGACTTTGACTCATGTCATAGAGCAATGTCACATGCAGCGCTTTTCCAGGGGAATAACCCATGAACGCTCTTCTTTTAGAAATGCTAGCTGTGCTAACTTCCGTTAAAACTACTATGAGGTGCCTGAGCACATACAGCTGGGCTTTAAAATTGACATTTCCTACAATTAAAGAAAATGAGAAATTCACACAGTTAAATCAAATAACACAAAACTGAAAAAAGTAATAATAAATATAGATTTACTAAATTATAATTTAGTACAGTAAAATACTGATTTAAATTTTTTTATATAAAAAAAAACTGTCCCAGAGAAATTAAAGTAGCTTGCCCATGAACAGTTGCAGATGTCTGACTGAACATTTCCTGAACATTAAAGAAAACACCTGATTTCAGTAATTTCCTCAAACTGATCGATTATAGACAGACACATTAATAAAATATTTAGAATGTATTTATAATTACTTTTGTCACTTTCAATTTCATTTACTGGTAGCTGTTTTTCTTCTGTCTTTAATGAAAGGTTATAGGAACAACTGTATGCCTCCATTACATAATCTATGTTGGGGGATAAAGTCGATCATTGAGGCACAGACCTTGATGATTCTAATCTCATATTTTTTTCTGATCTAATTATGAAAAATAAGTTAGTCAAAAATCTATAAGCACCAAAACATTTTATCCTGTAACACAGAAGAAGGTCACATGTATGACAACCAGCATCACCAAAGAGAAACTGAGTTGGACAAGAGCCACACCGTATGCAGGCTCTGTAAAACCAAACATGGAATCTTTGTAAATCCTTGAATCGTGGTTCCATTCAGAGACAGAAATAAAATGGCTGACCTCACCCTGCACCGGCACGCAGTGGATTATCAAACAAGCATTTTCAAAGCCTTCCCACAACCCCATTCTGGGAAATGATAATTACAAAGTTTGTTGCCAGTTTTACTGTTAAGGATTTACAACCATTGAGAAATAATTAAGAATTAGAGCTTTGGAGCTATGGATCTCTCTTTAAACATTTCTCTGAAACAAGGATGCCCAAAATAGGTAACAAAATCACAAGCAGGTATGATGATAATGCTAGCAGGTGTTAAATTAATGGTATGCTAATACGTATGCTAAATAGCTAATGGTATGAAATCATGCCACCATGATTAGTGTGGTTTTGAAGGTTATGTGCCCCCAAACCGAAGTTCCAAATAAAGGACACACAGGTTATACACATGGATGAGACGTGAAAGGAAGTAGTGGTGAAAAATCAGATAGCTGAGTAGGATCTGTGACGGACGCTGTGTAAGATATTGGATTCAATAAATATGGCCATCAGGTTATTGTCATCTTCTCATTTAACTAAAATGTCTTGGGGTTTTTTGGGTGTTTTTTTATTATTGATGTATGGAAGGGTAGAGTAACAGAAGCAGCATCTGTTGGTGAATGTTTTTGTTACTCATGCAAAATCTCAGGGGTCTTTGACTAAACAGGGCACGAAGGCTACAAAAACATTGTGATCAATCTTCCAATATTCTCCTATATTATAGTTCAGGTCATCAGTTCAGGTCCAATTTGTGTGGTGTTATAACTTATCAAAAAAATAAATAGATAATAAATTTGGATTAGTGCATCTTTAGTAATAAACCTTTCCCCGACCTTCTGTAGAGATAGCTTAACGGCAGTATGAGGAAAGCATGGGTGAGGAGTTTTATTTGAAAAAAATATGTCTAGTGCATCTTAAAAAAACTTTGTGTTTAAACTGTCACAGTTCTCATAAAGAACATAACTGCAGGTTAAAGAAATGGTGACAAACCGTTCATTGTTTGCACATCTGTACTGGGTGCTGGTGCACATTGGCAGGCATCGGGTCACACCTCCTATTTGAACAGCCAGGAAATGGTCAGGGCAGTCACAGGTGTGTTCTCGCCCCCCATGACGGATTAGGCACAGGTGAGAGCAGCCCCCATTGTTCCCGGAACAGGGATTGTTTACTGTTAAAGCAGGAGCCACAGAAAAACAATATCTGTTGACAACAGCTGAGCAAATAAGGACCGGCTACTGATGAGTGCAAAGTGGGTGAAGACTTACCAATCGGCTGCCGGTAAGGATGACATACATGAATGTCGAATGGCCTGTGTGTGGTGTTAACCAGAGATTCTCGTCCAGAGCCATTATACTTGTTGCCTTTCTCCACTGTGCGAGTGTTCCAGTCTGTCCAGTACACCGTGTCTTCAAATACAGTCAGGGCAAAAGGATGCGGCAAGATTCCATCGTAAACTGTGTGTCTGTGCTGTCCGTCCAAGTCGGAGTATCTGAGATAAAAGGAAATGTAAAACTCAACCAGTGTCCGTTTACTGCGAGTAAAAAGAATCTGACCAATTTTCTGATGAACTCACTCAATATAGTTTAGATGAGCATCTGACCAATAGAGTTTGTCATTGGTGTAGTCGATTGTGATGCCATTGGGCCACTCTATCTTCGTGGTGATGATTGCTGCTTTATTGGTTCCATCCATTCCAACACGACCTATAAAGGCTTTGTCCCCCCAATCCGTCCAGTAGACATATCTAGCAGGGTTTAAAAAAAAAAAAGTATTAAAAAACACTTTCACTTATAATTTTAGCAGTTGGTTATTATTATACAGATTATTTTCTTAGGGATGAATGCACATACACTAGAGCACTAGAACTCCTCACCCGTATTTAGGATGCAGAACAATACCCCTGGGGTTTTCAAAGCAGTAGCTGTTATTGCCATCAACGCAATGTTCAGCCAGTTTCTTGACAAAGCGACCATCCAGTTCAGACACTTTAAGGCAATCTAAGAAGCTGTCCACCCAATACAGTTTCCTTCCAATCCAGTCAACTGCAAGTCCCTCTCCATGCAGAAGTCCATTGACCACCACCTCCCGGTTGCTGCCGTTAAAATGCATCCTCTCGATCACCCTGCGGCTCACGTCAATCCAATAGAGGCGTTTGTCAACGCGGTCAAAGTCCAGAGCCACCACGCTGGTCAGACCCTCCAAAATAAGAGAGTAAGCCTGCCCGTCCGTTGAGAGGTTCCTCAGGTAATAGCGGTTGCTGAAGATAAGGTAGGGAGAGATGTTGCTGTTCTGGCGGCAGCTGTGTCCGTCAGGCTCTCTGAGAAATCCCGGAGAACATTTGCACACGTAGGAGCCGAGGATGTTTTCGCAGACCTGACTGCAGACGCTAGGTGTCTCTGCACACTCGTTGACGTCGTCGCATGTTTTGCCGTCAGACATGAGGCGGTAGCCTGGGCGGCAGGTGCAGATGAAGCTGGTGGGTGTATCGGTGCAGTTGTGATCGCAGTGGTGAATTGACGGGTCTGTACACTCGTTGATACCTACAGCCAGAGAAGATGCAAAAAATATATATATATATATTGATACTGCTTCATCGCCTCCTGTCTTGCAGTATTTTTATGTTTTTATACACGAATCAATGGCATTGCTGCAGTGTTCAGTGACCACACAACTGAGAATTAAATGATCATTGATAAAACCTAGAATGTGGTGCCAAATCTTTATTTTATTGTTTTGTAACTCATACAGGGTGAAAATGACTTAAAAATGTCAATTTATACTTACCACATCCTTTTTCGTCGCTGTTGTCAGAGCAGTCATCATTCCGATCACATACTTTGCTCTGGGGAATACAGTGTCCGTTTTCACATCTGAACTCTCCAGGGGGGCAGGTGGGCTCAGGCGTTTGGCAAAGATGCTGCAGCTCATCAGACTCATCCCCACAGTCATTGTCCCCATCACACACAAAGTCGTGGGACACACAGCGACCGTTCTGACATGTGAACTGGTGTGACTGGCAGGGCTGGTAAGTGCAACTCTGCTCATCACTACCGTCTCCACAGTCGTTGCGGCGATCACACCTGATATTTTAAAAAGAAAACGCCAATTGAACTCAGCTTTTACATTATTAAGATAGAGAATAACTGTGCAGTGTTCTAATTCTAACCTGTACGAGCTACGTATGCAGAGGCCATTGCTACATGTGAACTCATTGATGCCACAGGATCTGCGGCTGCAGTTTTGATGCTCATCTAGAGCATCTGCACAGTCTGCATCTCCATCACACACCCAGTCCCGTGGAATACACTTGCGTTGAGGTGGTTGATTATTCACACAAGTGAACTCAGTGCTTGAACATGTGCGATTCGCTAGGAAAAAAAAACATTAAATCAGACATGAGGATTTGCAAGAGGTTGAACAACAGTGGTGACATATTTTGGAAATCCCAACATTCCGAACTGTATCCAAACAGCACAGCCTTGACTGCATTGTTTGAAATGAGTCTCCTGCAGAGGCTCAATCACTGCTAAAGTCCCTAGCTTTAGGCATCTTATTTTTGGAGCAGCTTTATAAGAGCCTTGATCCACCCTGAGCCAGAAAGGCAGAGAAAAGAGACAAGCACAAAGTAACGGGTGAGGCAGGAAAAATCAGGAATGCTGGCTTCTTGGACTGGAGATCTAGTGGAGACTAAGATGTTTGGGACTGGCGACTAGTTTATACCTCAACAACCATAGTTTGAGGTGTGCGAATATGCTGAAAAACATGGTGTCTAGGGAGCACGAGGTGGCAAAGTGAAAAAAAAAATGTTTTGCAAAACAGGAGAGTAAGAATGTGGAAAATGCAAGAAGCTGGAACATAAATAAATAAAAAAACATCTTAAAAACGGCAAATAAGAACTGGAACTGAACCCTGGAAAGGTTCCTGCTGGTGCATCCCTGCACCGTGTTAAAAGTATTTTGATCATTGTAGTTAGTACTTAGCATAAATATGTAATATAGTATTATATGAATAGAGTTATGCTGAACAGATTATTCAGGGAAGGTGTGATATGGAATTGAGGAATTATGAGTGAAGGTCAAATTACAAGATTTTCTAAGCCAAATAACCAATATACCAAATATCATAAACTATACTATCATAGTGTTTTTTTAAAAAACTGATTGTGATATTAAGGGCAGTTAGAACACTTCCTTATGGACAAACATTTTATTGAAATGTAAAGTGAAAAAGAAGTCTTTTGAGATTGAGGAATTGCAGCCACTGAATTGCAATAATGACTGGAATTCAGCACACTGCACAGGTCTATTGTAAATCTGAGCTTCTGCAGGAAAACAAATGTCACAAAAAAAATAACGCATTCATGACATAAAGGTCCTACAGTTATTACTCCCACTGTTCATTTATGTTCGCTAAAATAGATAAAATACATCAGGCCCATGTTTCCAATTGGGTATATAATTTGTTACCAAAAGGAGATTGCTTGGATTATTTTGCCAATTGTTGGTTGACAGTTGTGATTTTTTTTTTGTATCTGGACAATTCTGAAAGTCTCAAGATTTTTGTCAGCTGTGGTCTGATTTCTACTGGAACAGTACAATCAGCTAAGATGGATGGGGAGTGCATTCGTTAACCTCTGCATGTTTGTAACCCTAATTAGTCACAGCAGAAAGACAAATCAAAGGTGTATACCACAGTTGTGTCTCTGATCTTCATCACTCATGTCCCCACAGTCATTGTCTCCATCACAGATCCACGATAAAGCAATGCACCTGCCGTCATCACAGCGAAACTGATCTGCATTGCAGGTTCTGATCAGTATGGCTGGAGAAAGAGATGTTAGATTTTTAGACCCCACAGCAATAAACAAATAGGTTTCACTAAAACATACCAAATCCAACCTAAATTGAACTGTTAATGTCAACCCCTGCATGATGTGTTCATCTTTGTCTGTAATGGTTTCTTATAGCTTTTTTAAAATTTGAATAAGAGGCATAATACAACACTGGCAAGGCTTTCAAAATAGTCATGGCAACTCCACATTCCCATGCATGGTGAGCAATCTAAACAAAAGCCAAAGTGAGGCTCTGTAACCCCGGGCGTATAAAGGGAGGGGGAGGTGCTGTTTGTCTGAGGACATTGAGGGGCGTCACCACAGAGGAATGCAGCTCACAATAAAAGGCCTGGCTGACCACATCATAAACAAAGGGATACACCACTGACTCGTACTCACATGAGCCTCTCACACTGCACAGATTGGCTAACAGACACCTTCACACAATAAGTGAGCAGCTGATAAAAGGTTGGGGGAGGGGGGAGGGAGGTGTTGGCTGAGGCACAAAGATGAACGGCTCTTTCTGGGTGTGAGAGTGTTGAGGAGCACTCACTGCAGGAGAGGGGTTCATCAGAGCCGTCAGAGCAGTCAGCCCCTCCGTCACAGTACCAGTGGGCAGGGATGCAGCGACCGCTGGAGCAACGAAACTCGCTCTGGGAGCAAGTGGCTGTCGCTGCAGGAGGTGCAGACAAGACACGAGTCAGATGTGGATCTTTTTGAAACAGTGACTCATAAGAGATATTTATTTTTATCATAATTTTATCCTTCCCTGTTAGAAAAAATGCTTTAAAAGTTAAGAGGTCAAGAAGGAAAAACTATGAAGTAGTAAATTATTTTTTCCCCTTGTAAAACAATATACACACAGCCTATAAAATTTAGATGATAAAAAAAAGATTTATTATTGTACATGCATAAAATGCAGTGGTAATGCTGAAAAAAGCCTTATGCTAACAATGTTAAAATACAATCCATCAGTGCTAAAGACATAAAAATTATGTCGGTTTTGATATACTACTCACTTTAAAACCATCAATCTACCTGGCAGATATGTAAAAAGCCCTAAAGAAGACAGAAATTCTGCAACAGTAGGATTATTTGCAATGAAAAAACTTCAAATTCCTTCACCATTAAATAAAGGCCCACAAAATTCTTGATCATTGTAAATTTTAATTTGAGGTTTATTCTACCTCAGTTAAAAATTACGTAATTGTCTTCAACATGGGAAAAGTGGAATAAAGGAGACTGAGTTTTCAGATCAGTACAGGCATCTTTTCAATAATAATAAGTTGGCAAACATCCTTCACTTATATGTTTCTTGGGTCATGCTTGTTTTTAACTTCATAAACATAAATGTAAAATGTGCAAAAAGCTGCAATTTTTAGTATGATTTACTTTTCCTGCTTCATGTCACAAAGATTTGCTACAATTATAAACCCAGGTTAAACTGGGTGATAAAGTGTATATTGTTTATTTATTTATTGCTATATACCTCTGTAAGTAACATCAAAAATGCATTGAAAGTAAGACATTGCTGAGTCAATTAACACCTTTGAAGTGATTGACGTAGCTTCAACGTTTTCTTCAGTCAATTTCTAATGAGTCTATTGTTTATTGAGTAAAAAAGCAACCAAAAACTACAGAGAAAGGGCTTTAATAAGCATCTGGAAGGGAAAAGGTGTATTATTACTGTTGCTGAACTCACCACAGTGTGTTGGGCTTTCATCGCTCATGTCACCACAGTCGTCGTCTCCATCACAAAGGTATGACCGTGGGATACAGATGTTGGTGGTCTGACACTTTGTTTGCTCTGGCTGGCAGGTTCTCTCAGCTAGAATAACCACACATTTGAATTCAGTTAGAAATATAGAAAAATAATAATAAAAACACATAATATTTATAGTTGAAACAAGACATTTAAATATGCAGTTTTAAACCATTTATTTCCCTTTTGTCTAAATGAGATTAACCCTTTCGTGCTTTAGATAAAGAGGGTTTTAAAGATTATATTTATCTGCTAAACGGAAGTATATTATAAGAGGTTTTATAATATATCTTTTAATATTTTCTACTAACTCTAAAATGTAACGTTGAAAATACTTTTAAGATTATTTAACTGTTTAGGACAGCCAAGATGATTTTGTTCATCTGTAAAATCTTCTGTTGATTCACAAATTTGGGTCCATTAGATACTGACCTGGCAATATTTATATTGCAACACCTCAAACTCTGTGCTCTCTATCAGATTGCATGAAATATCAAAGGAAACAAACACTGGTTTATTTTGTCAGGGTTCCCATGTGTGTGAGTCAGGCATCTCTCCAAGAGAGGATCTTTGTGGAGAACCTGGTTAGTCTACACAGGTGGAGCTCGTGAGTTTAATCAGAGTGCTGGGCTTTAAAGAGCAGCAGAGCCCTCATTCATTGCTGATTTTTTTTTTCTTTTTGTTTTGTTGCTTTGTCATTTCCTGGCTCCTCGTGTGTTTTTCCCTGATGTCCCTTAGATTTTGGTTTTAAGTATTTTTGATTTTTGGATTTTTCCCTCAGTTGCCTGTGGAAATGTATAAAATCTGCAAACTCATCTCTGCATTTGGGTCCTCAACAATCCTCCAGCCACCTGACACATTTATGGCACAATCTTTAGTTGTCTAAAGGGGATAAATCCATCTGTCTAATTAACTATACATCAGTATAAATACCAAAGGAATCCTCAGCCATAACACATTCAAATAAAGAGAACCCTTCTGATGAGAAATGTTGGAAACAAACCCATGATAAAAGTAATATCAATTTCTGGTTGGTACAACATTCACTATTCCCAAATGTTGAGTCCTGTACTTAACTCATTTGAAGTAATCCTCGCCTATTTTGCATACCAAAATAGAAAAGCAAATGGCTAAGGAACTGTAGCCTAAGCTGCATCAGTTCAAACATGACTCAAAGTTGTTTTTCTTATTCTAGGTCAATTTTGAACAGCAGTAATAAAGACATGCTTGAGAAGAAATATGTCTCATTGTATTATATTTGTTCTACATCATGTCAACCACAAATGCAGAAAATCTCAGACCTCTAGCTGAAACAGTTCCAGAGCTGTGGGGTTTTGAACTTTGGTGTCATCAGTGTCTCCAGATCTCTCCAAATGTGCCAGATTGTGCCAAATACTTTTACTCAACTATTTGAACCATAGAATAACACTGAAGCATTTTGATGGCCACAAAACATCTATGAAGCAAGTATTTTTCCACTTTTTCTCAAAATCAGTGTATATAACAAAATGTAACATTTACAAACCTAAACTAACATAAAATGAGCTCCATTGCTCCAATTTGTTTTTTGAAGTAAGAAGTAAGTCTTATTAGCAAGATGCTAAGCATTAGCTATGACCAGCTAACATTTCTGAAATAAAAAAATCAGACGTTATGTGATGATTTTCTCATCATGAAATGTTTTTATTATGAATATGCTGGATTACTTTTAACCTGTGAACCCTTATGGACAAATTTAGTATAAACATCTATGCTTTCCAATGATGTCTAACATGTCTATATTGGTAAAAATTTAACCATTGTAATTTTCATGCATTCTGAGATATTAGTTAGTCAGGTTACAGGTCACAATTGCACTCAGGGACAAAGATCTTAATTTTAAAATAAAAAGCCCTATAATGTGATGACGCTGAAGGTGAAGTACTGTATCATAATCACCAAAGGCATACTCTGATAAGAACGGTGTGGTTTTACAGGTTAAAACACCATGTAGCTTTGAAGAACAGAAACACAAGCATATTCATTTTTGAGTTGTTTACTTCAGGGTAGACTAACTTCAACACAGGAATGGTTTATCAAATGGATATGCATGGTGGTCCTTATCCTGGCAACATTCAGAAAGGAAAACAAAGTCCTGAAAGGGGGTTGATAAAGCCCTTATTCAGTCCAACAGAAAATGTATGGCCAGAGCTGAAAAGTTGGGTAGTGTAAATTTACAAAGATGACAATTTTGACAAGAGGAATGGGCCAAATTTCCAGAAAACTATTGCATTAAAGTTGGAAAAGATACCCACAACATTTGACCCAAGTCATACAGAAATTATGCTAAGTATGCTAAGTTTTGAATATAAAAAGGGATCGAAAATGCTCTTAAACTGTCTTTAGCAACCTTTTTACATTTAACAAAAATGGAAAAATTTTGAGCCTAAACAAAAAAACATTAAGTCTGATATCAATCTTTTTAAAAGACATAACTGAATGTTTGATTTCAACAACAAAAACAGCCAGCTAAAGAAACTCACGGCAGTTTTGTTCATCTGTGGTCCCATTGTCGTAGCAGTTGTTTATGCCGTTACAGACATAGTCCTTTGCGATACAACGGCCATTATTGCAGGCAAACTCTGTACGAGAGTCACAGGGTCTAAACAGACAGCCAGCTTCATCGCTGTTGTCTCCACAGTCATCGAAATGGTCACAGCGGTAGTGGTAGGGAACACACCGCCCATTGCCACAAGTAAACACAGTAGGTTCACAGGTATGGAAGGCTGGCGATCAAAATAAAGAACAAATCAGAGCTTTAGCTTAAAGAATTTGAGAATAAAGAAATGCGCTTTCACCAGGAGCTAATTTTACCTGACAGTGCAATAAAAGAGGATAGCAGCTGTGGGACTGCATGCAAAGGCAAGGACATTCAATTAAGTTAGTATTGATTACTGTTGTTAAAGAAGGATTATCAGTCTGATCATACAGTGCAGGCATACGCACCAGCATAGCTGAAGATTGGTTTAAATCCTAAGAAAGCAATTTGTTAAAGGAAAAAACAAACAAATACTAATTTGTTAATATTAGTAAAGGTAAAACAATACAATTGCATAAAAGACTCAACAAAGAAGGAAATGACCCCTAGACATTTAATACAAAATCTTTCAGAAAAACCTACCACACACTCTCTCCAGCTCATCACTACCATCTCCACAGTCATTGTCATTGTCACAAATCCACTGCGCTCGGATACAGCGGCCATTCATACAGGTGAACTGCCCTGGTTGGCAGCGAGTCCCGTTATCATGAATACAATACTTGCTGTCAGCCAGGTACCATCGACCTTCTGACGGGCACTGGCACTCAGCTCCATTGGGTCCTAACAAGAGCAGGCTCATCAGACATTTACAAAGAGCTTCCAGTTAATTAAATGTATATCTGCCTTAATTTAAAGCGGTTTCTTGTACCTGGTGTGCAGATGTGGCTGCAGCCTCCGTTAAACTGTTCACACGGACTGTCGCACTGCTGCTGTTTCCTATGGGCCAAAACTTGAATGTCCATTGGTCGAGATGGGAGGTTCTGAATCATAACTCTCTGGTCAGAGCCATCATGCTTGTTGGCACGATAGATGCTGCGTGTGTTCCAGTCGGTCCAATAGATGAACTGACCAAACATAGTCATTGCAAATGGGTAGATAGCTGTGCTGACAATGACCTCACGGTTGGCTCCCGATAGAGAGGATCTTTCAATCTTCTGTCTGAAGGCACAGGAAAAGTATGGCAATAGCAGATTTTTTAAACGAAAAGAAACACAATAAACAAATTAAAAAAAAAAAGTGAGTTTTATCACATCTTACAAGCTTGCATCGGCCCAGTAGAGCCTACTCTCTTCATAGTCCAGAGTCAGACCATTTGGCCACACCAGGCTGCTATTCACAATCTCGGTTCTGAAGTTTCCTCCTAAAGTGGCACGCTCAATCTTTGCATGACTCCCCCAATCTGTCCAATACATATATCTGTACAACAAGATAAAAGCAACTTAAAAAGGTACAGCCTAACATTGGGAATCAAGATGGTTTCCTTTGTAATCCTTACCCTCTACAAGGATCCAACATGATGGCCCTTGGCCTCGATACATGGGCAATTATTGTTCTTTGTGCCCCATCCACAGACATAGAGCTGATACTCTGGTTGACATAATCACTGTAGTAAATTCTTTTGTTAATCCAGTCGTAGGCTATCCCATCAGGAGCCCCGAGATCTGCAGTAACAACAATATGTCTTTACTACAATTGTTTCCCAATCATAAGATTGGGAAACAATTGGCAAACTGTAGAAGTCCTAAACTTACCTGCTGCTACAACAACAGGAGCTGAAGTGGGAGAGGACAGGCTGATATAGCTGATCTTGCTTGCTCCTGAACCTGAGCTCTGAGTGAAGTAAATCCTTTTGTCTGTGAGGTCAAAGTCAAGAGCCACGGAGGTACGAGGCACATTGACCACAGGGAACGGCAATGCATGGTCCTCAGGATCAAGTCGCAGGCTGCGCACCGTGCTCTCAGTAGTGTATATGAGGTAATCCTCCTTTGACATCTCACAGCTTTGTTTATCCATGGCAAGATCACCAAAAGCACAGCTGCACTTTTTGTTCTGTGTGGCTTGGCTAAGTGCTGGAAGGGCAAAGCAAAGGTGGGCACATCCTCCATTGCTTTCCATGCAGGGGTTGTAGTTCAGCTCCTGGGCAGTGGTGGGTTGAGTTCGTTGGTCAAAGATAGTGACATCCCTTAACATGTTTATGTTATCTCTAATTACAGCAGGGGGCTCTGTGCTGCCTGGTTCTTTACTCGCTTGAAACACTTTTTTGAGGTTTCTGTCCACCCAAATGATGCTATTCTCAAAGACTGTTATTCCATAAGGAGTTGGATATCGGCTACCATACCTAACTATCTCGGTCTCCCCTCCATGGGGGCTAATGCGGGCAATCATGTCCAGAGAATCATCCACCCAGTAAACATAACCAGTATGCCAATCCAGAGCAAGGCCTCGTGGGGTGATAATCCCAGAAGACACTAAAATTGTGCGGTTGGTTCCATCCAATAAAGCACGCTCGATTTTGGGGTGCTGACCATAATCAGCCCAGTAGAGATATCTGTTTCTGGGATCAACAACAAGGTGGCGAGGCATGTCCGTTTGAGTCTTCAGCAACACTCGACGAAAAGTTGTGTTCAAGCGAAGTACCTCTACATAGGTCTCAGTCAGGAAGGCGTTGGTGAAATACAGGTTACCTAAGGAAAAGGAAAGTTTCAAATTTTACATGAAAAAAATTTCATAATTCGTGAATTATAACCTTGAGAAAAAAAGTGTTGCAATATACAGTGTGTCAGATGGATCACCTGATCTATTATTCCTAAACCTTCAAACCCTATTTTAGAAGAGTATAATCCAAAACCATTATTTGTCATTTTGCCAATCTTTAAAGCCTTAAGAAAATTTCAAAGCACTGGTTGAATGCAACGCTCTCGTTTCTGATTAACATCCAAGGAGTTTCCTGACCTAGTCTGCAAAAAGAAAGATACAGTGTTTGTCCTAAAAGTTGAGAGCATCCACTATTAATTAGGAGCTGAAACTATTTAAGTTGTATCTAAAAAAGTGGCCCACTACCAACCTGTGGCAGCTCTATTTGAACAGAAAGTTGGATGGCATAGTGTAAAGTAAGAAGCACCACATTCACCATACACATTCAAAGAGCTACACAAGGACAGCAAGTCATGAGTTCTTGATCAAGCTACCTCTAAACTGATCTGTGGCCACACATTAATGATCAACCAAGCTAAACTCTCTCACCATGTCACCAGACGACAAACTCTGTTGGATGTCCCAAAGAGAATGGACGAAAATGCTCTCCCTTTTACCCATTACAGGCACAGAGCAGAATTGTTTTACAGCACGGACTGTTATGCTATCAGTCAAATAGTCAGGGGAACTTGTTGCAACTGTCGCAAATGATTTGATAGAATAAGTCTTACCAGTCTTGCCTGCATTCACTTGTGAATACAATAATCTATTGCACATGGATGGTGCCAAATGTAACCATAGCCCTCTGAATCATCCATCTGAACCAGTTTGTAACATAATTTAAGACAAAGAAAACTTTGTGAAAGATCTATGTATACCTCTTCAGGTCAAGCAAAAATATGAAGGATCCCCAGATCAGCTACCTGTCCCATTAACTCTTCGAGTGAGTGAAAGTACAACTTTAGACCTTAGACACCACAGACCTGTGAGCATCAGCACTCACAGGACCGGCTTCCATAACTTTTTTCCAAGCCACTGTCCAGCTAGAGGCACAGGATATTAAAGAGAAAGAATACCTTTTACAACCTCAAACTAAATGCATTATTATTTCTATGCCATCCAATGCCTTTTATTTCTTGTTTATGTACGTTTATTTGTTTCTGTTTTATAGTTTAAAAAGTACTGACTCTGAGAGATGCACAAAATTCCATGCACTTGTAAAATTTTTCTACTCTATTCATAGTTTATTTTAAAATTCTCGCGGCCTTCTATAGCTGACTTGCATAACATAACCTCTTGTTGATTTTCAGAAAACACAGCATTTAAATAAGGCTTACCAAATGTAAGTGAAAATTACAACATGCCTAAATTACATCAGCAGCTTACCTGCAGCCCAGTCCACAGCAATACCCCGTATCCCATTGCGCCCTATTCCAGATGTAACTACACTATGTAATCCTGAACCATCAGGCTTTATGCGTCTAACTCCGTTTTGGATCGCCATAGTGCTGCTGAAGTCACACCAATAAATGAAGCCAGAAGCCATGTGCACATCAACATGGAGAGCGTTACGACCTGAAAGAGAGCATTTAAAAAGAAAGTAACTGAATTTGTGTTCTCTACTGTGGGACTAAATAAATTAATGACACAGTGCATATATGAAATCAATGACTGGAAATAGGATATTAACATCACTAACCTCTACCAGCCACAGGGACCATGGCCTCAGAGTGATCTGAGCCTTCTAGACTGAAGCCTTTTATTGCAGACAGAGTGGAGATGACAACGTAGGACTGGTAAGGGGCACAGGTGTGGTTGTCTGCATTAAGTTTAAAACCTGTCGCACATGCACAGGTGAAAAAACCTCGTGGTCGCGGCAGACACAGATGCTCACATGCTCCTAAATTGTCAGAGCAGCCGTTAGATGTCCCTGCAGACGCTAAGTTTGAAGAGAAAGCACGACATTAGAAATGCATCAAAGAAAAAGCTTAATTCCAACAGTCTACATACAGATACACAGAAATCAGCTGACGACCAGAACCAGACACATCTCGAGTTAAGGAATTTAATTTGTTAATATATGTTCATTTTTGTGTAAACAAATAAAACTGTTTCAGCAACTGCTCTCTTATGTTTCACATCTATTCATAATATACCCCAACTTTTGCTCATCGCAGGAGGGCTACAAAAATGTATTTGGAAATCATTTCTTGGGTATAATTGTACTATGGAAGCCCTGAGAGGCAAGAGGGGGAAAAAATCTGGAATAGAAAAGTTTGAAGTTTTTTTTTTCCTTGTTTTATTTTTTGCCCTGAAAGGCAAGTGAAAAAAAAAATATCAAAGGCAAATTTTTCTGTTTGTTCTTGTAATACTTTATTTTGCCACTAGAGGCACTGGCGTGATAAAACAGACGGACACTGTCAGCTGAATTCTTCCACTGTATAGTCAGAGAAGCTGGGATTTCAAGAATCAATGTCCCAAATATAAAATCAGATTTTTGCAACGTAAAATAAGATACAAAAGCTGTGTATTTACAAAAACAAAAAGTAAAATGAGTTGGTAAAAAAATAATTTTTTCCCTCTTGCAGCGCTTGAGAAAGAAAAAGGACAATTTAAACAAGGATTTTTTTTTCTGACGTTGCGCTGATGGAAAAAAAAGACTAATGCTAATGCTACAAGTTCCTTTTGTCTGATGTTTATATTTGTTTAATTATGTGAGACTTTTAAGTGTGAAAAAAAGAAAGTTTTAAAGAAATATGTAAGGGGGGCAATACTTTCCAGCTGCATTGCATAATATGGTTAATTAATTAAGCCACAAAACTCTACGGTGCATCTCTAGTCATCTGTGCAAATTAACTTTAAGGGAGTATGCCACTTACTATCTCTAAAATGAACTTTTAGGACTCTAAGTCCAGACACGTTGTTTCTCATCACAACCCTGTTGGCACCAGACGACTTGTCTACACGTTCGATGACCTCAAAATCCCGGTCGCTGAAGAACAGGTAGTTCTGATAGACAGCGACACCCCAAGGATGGGAAAGACCGGTCACTATCGTGATACGATTTGTTCCATCTGGATCCCCACGTTCAATCTAAGAAAGAAGAAAAAAGAAAGGATGTTCTTCAAGGGTGTTCACATCAAAGTTACAGCACAGAGCACATTAAGTACCAGCAATTTTTAGGAGGAGGTAAATGAATGAAAACAGACTTTTCCAGTGCTTGTAACGGCCCAGTACAGCTTGTTCTCCTGGATATCCACAGTGAGGAACTCAATGTGATCAAGGTTGTTGGTGAAGAGGTTGACGGGGTTCATGCCATCCATATCCGCTGATGCTACTTTTGCAGGAATACCACTTTCCGTTCCCTGGTCTGTCCAGTAAAGTTTGCTAAATGAAATAAAAAACATATGAACTTAAGGTTACATTAAACAATCACTGTTTAAACCAGGAATTAACTTTTTTCACAGAAATTTAAATCAGTTTAAATAGGTTTTATGATCTTTAGTCATTTATAAATATTTAAAATACCTTGTATTTCTAAATATTAGAATAAAGAGCATTTTTCTTTGTTTCTTAAAGTAGAGAAATTTACATATATTCCCCTTATAAATGGCTTTAATACCACTGTACTGTGGGAGAGCATGTGGAGAGCCTCTAGCAGAAGTAATACGGTTGTCTTTCCACATGATCTCCCACAGTACAGTTTATGGAATTTTCAACATTTCCTCCTGACAGAACTGGTACAAAACTATCACATATGCAGGTCACCTTGGATATACAGCACTTTTCAACTATGCCCACTAGAACAGCCTATGGGTTCAAAATATCTCTCAAAACCAATCACATATATATAGAATGTCAAAGATATGTTACAGATAATTCCAGTTCCCTTTTTCGCTGAATGCAACAGGTGGGAAAAGGCTTTTTGCAACTGAAAAATACTTCTAGCATCGCGTTAGCGTTATGCAACTCATTGGTAGAATATACATAATAGAACACATATAAAATAAAAGTTCCTTTAGAGTTCTATGTATTGTATTGATGAAAAGTCTCACAGTTAGGTATGTTATATGTATTGATAATGGCCTGTATAATTAATCTAATTTATTGATTGTTATAAGCCTAACCCCAAAATTAGCTTAATAATAAGGCTAAATGTTACAACATAAAAGCATTAAATAGTCAGCCAAGCAAAGCCTAATATTGCACATATCTTTTATTTGTGGATTGTTTTCCATGTTATTTATAGAATTGTTTTGTAATATTCATCCCAACAAATAGCCTCCATCTTAAAAGCCTGTTAAGTACATTATGAACAAATGCCTACAATAAATACACCCCTGATTAATCATTGAAGTTTGTGTTTATGCATGACTAATTGGAAGGGTTTTAGGGGGGCCACAGACAAACACTGACTGGATCTGTGCAGGTCTAGCTTATTTTGAATGCACCTAATATGTTGTTCTGTCACTGTGTTAAGCTGTCAGTCACATTCAACATCCAATGATCAGAGGCCCCGCCCCACAGGGCATAATAGGAAAGAAAATTTGAAGCAAAATAATCAAATCTACAACTGTGAAAAAAAAACAACTTGAAAATGAAAACTTTTTTTTTTTCCAGTTTCAATTTTTTTTTTTTTTGCAAAACATTTTTTCAAAAAAAAAAAATGCATTTGCCTTTGTTGCAAAACTTAAAAAAAAAAACTTTTTTTAGGATCATTTTAATTCTTGTTTTTTTATTTTTATTTTTTTACCACACTTTATGGCCCCAATGTAGCTCCATAAATATGTTTTTTACCTGAACACCAAACATTTATTTAAAAAAAAAAGTACATTTATTTCCATAACATTTTAAATCAAACGTATTTCCTCCAAATTGAAATCCCTGCTGATGCACATGTAAAAAAAAAAAAAAATCAGGATTCTTATTTTTTCTGGTTCATGGGAAGAAGAAAATAAAACAAACTCATTAAAGCAAAAAGGCTTTCAGGAAAACAAGGGAGGTAGGGTTGTTCACAGGAAACTGTAAAGGGTCAATCCTCCTGTTTTTTGTTGGAAGACATCTATCAAATCTTTATCCTCCATTTACAGCTGTGAAGGTGTTTTAGTCTCATTAATTGGCTTACCATCAAATTGAAATTATTAATTATTTGACTCATTGGTAGACCCTTCCGTTCACAGTAAACTTTCATCAGCTTGCTGCGAGGAGTATGCCTTTTTAACTTAAACCTCTCTAAGGACCATCCTGCCCTGCCACATTTAGGTTGATGTGCTCAGTCTTAACTCCTTCCTTTGGTTTGTCGTCTGCCATAGTTGTTTCTTCCATGCTGCTAACGCCATTGACATTATATACCAATGATGGTAAACAACATTAAGTTATAGCAGCAGTGGTGTTGGAGCTATGATACTGTGACACTAGGGTATTTTTACTATAGGTTATAACACAATATGAATTACACATCAGCTCATGCCTTCATAACTAGATATAATATATATCTATATATCTATATATCAACAAAAAATGCTCATTGTTTAACCCATATTAAGAAAGGAAAGCATTTGTTTGTTGACTGTAAGCTGGTGGGGTTTTAGACGGTAGCTAGTGTTGTTAAGATCTCTCCTGAGGCCAACCAGATGGAGGCTGTAAAGGCTCAGTAGCAGTGGATTTGAGTGGCTGTGCCAGGACGGTGTTAAATGAGGCTTACCCACGTGCTGCATCCACAGCGATGCCAACAGGACTGCCAGCGCCGGTTGGAGAGCCGTTGTTGGTGATGATAGTTTTCCGGTACTGTGCTTCTCCTCTCAACTTTAAAACCTGGCCAAACAAAAAAAGTGAGCAAGTAGAAAGATAAACAAAAGGATAAATAAATGAATTAATCTCACCTCAATAGACTGTGTAGCTGGGTTGGTGTAGTAAAGGTTCTCTGTGATCCAGTCCAGAGCCAAACCTACAGGAGAGCCCAGAATGGCCGCGGGGGCAAACTCCGTCCTGTTTGTACCGTCCGACCTAACCCTGTGGATCTCACCCTGTTGGACAGATTTAAACATATCTTCAAGCTAACATCACCTAACATGGCCAGACTTGTACTACATATGTCAGTGAACCTCTTACTAAGGACAATGATTTGAATAGAACTGTAACCACAGCGTGCTTTGAGCACTAACTATAAAATGAAGAACATAACTGAGGTTTGCCTATAGTCTAGCATCTTAGAAGACACATTGCATGGACTCACAGGGTGTTCAACCCAGTAGATGGTCTGTTCTCTATCATCGAAGTCAACATCATAGCCGTTGTGAAGACCAGCGACTGGAACCATGGCATCATTGCTCTTGTCCTCCGGATTCAGTGGAATACCATAGATGATGCTGTCTCTCACAACCACCAGAAAGGGATCTTCAACTAGTAGAGTAGTACAAATCTGTGTTAATTTCATCAAAGGAAAGTCTGAAATATTTCCCAGACATGAGAACAATGATGAAAAAAAAACAGGAAAAAATGTTGGGGGAGATGAAATACATTTAAATCTCATAACTGTAACATCTAAACAATATGAATTTATATCCTTTGGCAAAAGGAAATAATATTTAGCAGCAACATGAGAAGAGAAAAACTTAATTTCAATAATTATTTCTCAGGTAAACCAAGCCCAATCTAAATGATACATAAACACCTTTTAGTGATCCGATACTTTTTGGGTTTGCGTAAATAAATGTTAACTTTAGGTGACATGCATTCGATTTAAAGAACTGCTGTGTTTTTGTACTCAACTTTACAAAGGGAATATGAAACACAGTTATACATAAAACTAAACATATTTACCATAAATTTAGCTGAAAAAAGATTTTATTTAAATATATATATTTATATATATATATATTTATTTATTTATTTATGTAAGAGCCAATTTCTTTTTAAATTTATATTTTGGTCAGGTAAATCTAAAATGGGTTTAAAAAATGTTGCACTTTATATTAGATCAACAATTTTTAGATGGCTAAAGTGTGTAAAAGATGATGATTGTTTTTTTTATCAGACAAAACTCAATCAAAATTTGCACTCTAATAAATGACAGACATTATGCAAATGTATTTTATTTTTAGAGAATAAAGTGTAAAACCTGACTTATTTACAAACTTACAAAACAGATCCTGAGGTACAATTAGGTGCAGTTGCACACTGTTGCTTCCTATGAAAAATATTTGGTGCAAATTAGGGATCTCATGCTAGAGTACCTTTATCTATAAAGAGGATTGACTGGTGAAAGCCGGTCCTCCAATCTGATTTGCTTTGTCATCAGAGATTAGAGTCAAAGAATGGTTGTAGGGTATTTTCATTCTTGGATAATCGTTGGCTTCAAGAAGAGATTGCAGTCTGCTTGGTTTGTAGCGGCTGAAACCTGAGATGAGTTAAGCTGCTGACCTAAGGTGGACTCCTTGGACCTCATATTAAAGGTCTCTTGTCCTCTTCAGATCATGAAAGACATGTTCATATGAGTCTTAATATTTATGACCTGAGCCGCAGGTTACAAGGTATTCTAAATGGGAGGCTGTTGACAGGTACCTGATTCAATCTTTAGTACAACAATGCTGTTTACAAAGATTTCTCCTCTTACAAAAGTTAAGATCAATGCACAGAAAGCATGTGAAAATCACATGGGGATTAGCAGTTTTGTTTTTCATAAAAGTAATGACTGCTGAGATGAAAAGTTGATGAATATATCAACTTATCAGCAATATTTGACCAGACTTCCTTTTTTTTTATCAATTTAAGTGATGAGTGTTTTCCTCCTGTTGGCCGGCTGCATACCTCTGGCACAAGTGAACTGGTCGGCTGCCAGAGTCCAGCCTGAGGGGCAGGCACATGAATAGTATCTTGGTCCCACAGCAGAGAGTAGGCAGATATGTGTACAGGCGCTCCCCAAGCAGTGGTTTCGCCCTACAAATTGAAGAGAGAGTCCCGGTAAGTGATCTTTGCAGGTTACATGACATCCTGGCTGCAGCCAACGTGCAGCCAGAGATTAAATTAGTGCAAAGTGGACTTATATATGGCTAAATCCAGAAAGGTTACAAACACTGTAGATTTAAGGCACGCACAACTTTTTTTCTCATCGCTGTTTGAAATCAGAAAAAACTTTTCCTTTTTTGAATCAGATGGAATTACTATAAATATCCATAACATCCACCTTCCCCACTCATCTGGACAGGTCCCAGACTATTGCAGGCCAACGCAGAGACAGACAACCATGCACACACCTAAGGGCAATTTAGAAAAGCTAATTAACCTATCAGTCATATGGTTTAGCTGAGGGAGGAAGCCAGAGTAGTTGGACAGAACCCATGCATGCATGGGGAGAACATGCTAACTCCAAGCAAAAAGATCCTAGGCTAGGAATCGAACTAGGACCTTCTTACTGCAAGGCAGCAGTGCTACAAACTGTGCCACCATGCACTATTTTTGTTATTTTATCTAAATTCAGGAATTTTGCATTTATACTTCTTGACCAGGATCTCCTTTTAAAAGAGATTCCACATCCCAATTGATTTATTTCCTGGTAAAATAAAGGTAAAATAAAACAAATAGATTCAAGAATACTATTTTTACTTTTTAATGATTAAGGAAAGCCAAAATCATGAAAGGTATAACTTGTGGGACACAAACATGAAAAGAAAATAGCCAAGATATCAGGAAAAGAGTTGTGGATAACCACATGTCTGGATGTGTAGCTTCCAGTTGCCAGCAGGAGCTTCTTCCATCAGTATACAAGAATAAAACCATGCTGATGCCCAGCCATCATACCATACAGAAAGGAGATGTCCCAATATGAGTTGTGCAAGGCAACCACAGAAAATATGAAAAATATCTTGTAAAGATTCTTATTGAAGATAGTAAGAGTGGAGTTGTCCAGTAACACAAGTCCTGTAACACTGTAGCCTGAAATGCCATTCAGTGAGGAAGAAGCCAATCCTATACCTGCTGGTTGCCTGGTTGGGTGCACTGCCACAAGGCCCATTGGCTGAGGTAAGTTAAACAGCATGACTGTCTGGTTCTCGCCATGCCATTTATGAGCTCGCATCACTCGGTTGATGTATCTGTCGGTCCAATAAACGAAATCCTCAAAAATGGTAATTGCGTGCGGATGTTGAAGTACCTTTTTTAGAGAGTAACAGAAGAAAAACAATGGTGTCCTACACATGTTATCAAAAGGTACGATAAATGTGTTTCTGCCCATAATTAGACTACTAGCACCTCATGCACTTACCAAGTCACTGGCAAGGACTTGTTTTCTGTTGTTGCCATTGTAGTCGCAGTAGTCAATGAAGTCCAAATAGGCATCAGCAAAGTATAGCAAATTATTTGGATAGTCTATGGTTAAACCATTAGGCCAGTACAGTTTGCTGCTTATGATGACTGTCCTGAGTTTCCCATCCATGCTTGCTCTCTCAATGCGGGGGTTCCTTCCCCAGTCAGTCCAAAACATCAGATGAGCACTGGAAAACAGAATAAATCCTTAATTACTGACTTTCTTTGCTTTAAATATATTTTCCATGTTGTAATGACAGATTTAAAGTTTTCCCTTTTTTTTTTTACATGATGGAACAAAAAAAAAATAATAATAATTTATTTGGCCTTAAGCTAATTTAAAAAGAAATGGGCAAAAATCTTAGTCTATAGATGGTTGGTGCAAACCACCTGTTTATGGAAACAGGGAATTTAGTCAGTATTGTGAATACATCTACTGTATCTCACACTCACCTACTACTCATAATGTTTATTAAAATGTGTGTTTTTTGTGACCAAATGTTAAAGGTTTTGAAGGAGACATGAAAACTTGTCTCTGACCTGTCTCTGGGGTCTAGCACAAGAGCTCGAGGATTAGTGACATTTTGGCTAACTAAAACAGTCCGATGTGTTCCATCCAGTTTGGACACTTCAATTGTCTCCAGGACATAGTCCGTCCAGTATAGATTCCTGCCAACCCAGTCCACGGCCAGGCTCTCTGTCACAGTCACTCCACTGTCAAATATCTATCGTAAAGATAAATGAACATATCACTACGATAAATTACCAGTAAAATGGTTCTTACACATTGTTCATTTAAGATTATTATTTATTTGCAGCCAATTAAAAATAATAACAACAAATGTTACTAAGGCAGATAATTCTACTTTAAACATTAGAGCCACAACTGAAGAAAGGAAGCAATGAAGGATGGGAAGAAGTATAGAAGTAAAAAATAAAAAGGGAAAGAAGGACATAATGAGGGAAACAAATAAGAAGTAGAAAGGTAAAAGGTCATATGAGGAAGAAAGAACATAAGGGAGGGAGGAGGAGAGAACAGGGAAGAAGGATAGTAGCAAGAGCATCACAAGGAAAAGGATGAAGGAGAGTTAAGACAAAATGGGGAAATAAAGGAGAAGGCAGCGTAAAGGAAGAACGGAATACGAGGAGAAAAAGGAGAAAAGTAAAAAGATTTAAGTAAGCAATTAACTCATGAGAGGAAAGATGAAAGAAAAAATACAGCATTTGAGTAAAAGGAAAAAACAGCAAACTGGAATACATTTTTTCTAAATGAAAGTCCGTAATTTTCCAGAATGCATAGAAATCTTTCAATTAGTCTTTCCATTTCTCTTTCACTTACCACAGCTCTGTCGCTGCCGTTTATGTTAGAACTCCAGATTCTGTCCTGGCTTGTATCAGACCAGTACACACGGTTGGAAACAGAGTCAAAATCTATAGCCACAACATTGCGTCCGTCTCGAATCAGTGACCGAATCACATTTGGTTGAGCGCTTATTTCATCTTGGATGATTTGATTTCGACTGGCCACAAGTAGGAAGGCTTGACGTGAATCTATAAATAAAACATATAAAAATCCAGTTATGTTTATTTTAAGACAAGAAAAACACTTATCAGTTCCAGTGTGTGTGAGTTGACAACAGCCAGACAAAAAGACTCTTAAATAGACCCTACTCAAATGGCAGTCCTTCAGGAATGCACTTATGTGCAAATAATGTCCTATTGTACGGCAAAAGCTTTCAGGCAATTATCTGTGAGGGAAGAGGAGCTCATGTCAAGCACACTCCCCTTATAAACAGTCCTTTGTTTGTGATTATGTCCTAATTACCGCGGCGATGGCCAGTGACTGACATATATGTTATTTGCCTTATCTTTTGAAATCAGAGGAGCAAAGAAACACAAAAAGAGAAGAAAGGCAGTGTGTCCGTCTGGATGTCTGGGGGCCAAGTCCCACTTTTTTCCCCCCATGGCTTCTTCCAGCTGGGCGAGTGGAGAAATCAGATACCTGTTTGACTGGTAAAAAATGCTAAAAGCCAAGATCACAGTAGGCCTGATATTAGAAGTATTTCCTTTTTTTAAAAATATAATTTAGGTTATTTAAAACTTGATAAAGATGTCCCGTACCCTGAAGTTTAAAAACATTTCTTCCCCTTACCTGAAGCCTTGCAGGTACGCTGGTCTGCTTCAAGAGTGTAACCCTCCTGGCAGTGACAGCGGAAGGAGCCCCTCTCGTTAAAGCAGTGCTGGCTGCACAGTCCTGGGGGATTACATTCATCTATATCCTCACAGGTTTTGGAGTCATTGCTGAGCTGATAACCAACAGGGCACGTGCACTGGGCCCCAAAAGGCCCTTGGATACAACCATGTGTGCAGCCAGCGTTGTTATCAGAGCAGCTCTCCTGGTCTGAGTTTAAAGTAAGAAAAGGTTTATTTAGAACAGAAAATCTGGAGAAAAAAGCCTTTAATATACATGCAGCTTTCTAGAAAAGACTAATAACATTAACAAAGCAAAAACTATATCCTCAGAAATGCTGTCCTGTGTCAAAGCTAGGTTATGAATGTGGTGCATGGTGATTGATGGAAATTTATAACAGAAATGATTTTGCATCTGTTAAAGATAAATCTAAACTACTTGCAACAATTCTGTTAGGGATTGAAAGTTTCTTCCTACCTGGTAAAGGCTCGTCTGAAAGTTGGGACAGAGGCAACAGGAGGGGAAGGGGAATCAAAGATCATTTTCGGGTCAATACAAGACAAATCACACACATGCTTGATTTAAACACAAGAACACAAAAATAAGTAGGTGACTTTGAACACAATTTTTCTGTGATGTGAAGCGAATGCTTTGAATGTATTACAAGAGTTTAATAAAAGTGATGAATTAAAAAAATCAGGTTGAAATAGACTGTTAAGTTTTTCATTGAATGGGTGAAAGTTACTGAGAACAATACAATCATGGCTTATGTACAAGTAAACATTGTATGCACTTAGAAAATGATGTATAAAATGAGCATAAAAAATTAAATAGAAAGAATCTGGATTCCATTCATCAAACAAATCTCTAATTGATTTCATTTTTTCGAAATTTGTTGTATGTTTTTTTTAGATTTCAATTTAATAAATTGGTTGTTACACTTAACAGTGCCTTCTTATACCTAAGCAAAATGTATTCTATATATTAAGATATGGGTAAGAAAAAAATCAAACTTGCTTTCTGGGTTTGTTTTTTAGCGCAAGCTGAAATAAACAGAAGATGCCACTTACTGCAAAGTGGAGACTCATCAGCGCCATTGGGGCAGTCAGGTGTGTTGTCACACACTGTGGTAAGATTGATGCAAACACTGTGACCAGGACACTGCCACTGCCAGCTTGGACATCGGAAAGGTGGCGTGGGACAATCTCTTTCATCGCTCATGTCTCTGCAGTCGTTGTCTCCGTCACATATCCAGCTGTGCAGAACGCAGTTTCCATTGTCACAGCGGAACAGCGTGGAAAGGCAGGTCCGGGGAGGGCAGGCGTGGTGTTCATCACTACCATCCTGACAGTCTGGATGTCCGTCACATTCCCATGAGGATGGGATGCAGCTCCCATCAGATTGACATTGAAACTCACTCTCATGATGGCACATCCCGGGAGGCCTGGTGGCTAATAAGGACACAAGCATGTGGGTCAAAACAAGTGATGTCCAAAATCTGACCCAACCATTAATCTGGTGGACCAAATCAAAGCTAAATGGTTAGTACAGTAGTCTTTTTAAAAAAAAAAAAAAAAAAAGGAACTACTGATGCATGTAGTTGGGTATCTATGTATTTTTTGGTCAATCCCAGGGAGTTTGAAAAATCATTGTCTACTATTGCTTCCACAACTTTCTATATATTGGTTTATTCAGAGTTTCTGCAATGATATCCTAGCATTTTTCAGCCGTTACATTATTCATAAAGAAAACTGACATTGGTTGCTTCAACTCTCTCTCTCTCCATGTTGTGCTGCTCAGACACCCCTAGCTGTCCAGAAGAGTTGTGGAGCAGAAAGGATGTGAAAGGCTTTTCATTCAATTTTATGACATTAAAACCGAAACCCCAACTTAATAAAGAAAGAGAACACATTTTTGAGTGCACAGATGATGATTACTAGCCTGGGTGCCATTCCGAACTTAGTCCCGCCCACAACGTTTGAGGTCTGGAAGTTCGGTCTGGCATTGCTCAGTAGTAGCGCGAGTATGCTCGCACAATATCTGGCGGGCCAATCAAATTGTCAGGGCGGGCTTTATACGATGATGGACAGATGATCAACAGTAACGTAATCAACCACGTGACCAAAGCGAGCATGGGTGATAACAACAATGGCTGCCGCTGGAGAGTTTAGGTGAGTAGATTCTGCTATTAGGTCTGTTCTAGAAGATATCGACAGCAAATTAATTTTAAAAGAGGAACAGAGAAACGCGATCAAGGCTCATCTTCTTATTCTAGGCGTGCAACTGCACGCTTTTATTTTTGTTGACAACAACTATGCCTCGCTTAACATACGTCACGCACTCCGTTGCTCTTATTGGTTGTAGGTCTATCCAATTGAGTGCAGAGGCGTTTTTTTTCCCGGTTCGTTCGAAACACGCCCCATAATCACAGCTCTATGGAGCAGTATCAGACTCATATTCTGACTAGAATTGAGTAGGACTACGTCAGGCTAGATGATTACCAAGAACAGTGTTGAATTCTGGGCTTTTGAATGTGCTAGAGTAAGGCTAACATTAGCATAACTGCTCCATATCAAACCCTCAGGATTAAAAGAAAAAATAAGCACCACCGACAACTGATGAGCAAAGTTACCATTGTTAACTATAACTAAGAAAATGATGAAAAATAGAATTTTCTTTAATGGAAATAAAAATAAATAACTTAAACTGCCATAACAGTTTACAAAACTAATTTACAGTCCTTTGTTTTTTTTGTGTGACTTTAACATAATTAATATGTGGTCTAATTTCTGGTTGCTGTTTAGGTTTCTGTCCCTGTACAGCATTATCCCAGCTGATGTTAGGTACAGCAGTCGGATCATTTGTGTTGCTGCAGTGCCCTGTCCTTATATGGGAGTTTTATTATTTATTTTTATTTTTTAGCCTTATAGTCGTATTACGTAAAATCATCAAACTATGACTGAAACTAATGAAATCTAAGAATTAAAAAAAAATAAAAACTAAACCAAACAATTTTATAAATACAAAAAAATTAATGAAAACAAACTAAACTTTCAAATCAGAAGTCAAAACTGGATAAAAATAAAAACTAATGAACCTTTCAAAACTATTTCAACCTTGCTCAAGAGATATAGAATGATATTAAATAACATACCAAGAGGCTTTAATCTGTATTTGCCTCAGTATTCTGTATTAGCCAATTTCCACAAAACAACTCACATGGATGGATATGAGGGACAAAATATCTGATTAGGACTTATCTAATATATCTACATAGTATAAAACAAAAAAAACAATAATGTGTGATTAACGAGCACCAGAACAGTAAGAATACTTACGACAGTTTTGCTCATCAGAGTGGTCGCTACAATCGAAGACACCATCACAGCGATAGAAGGAGTTTATACACTGATGCCCCCTGGCACACTTGAACTCACTCATTGTGCAGTTATAGACTGAAAAACGTAAGTACAAAAGAAGTAATAATCAGCACAACAGATGAGAGGAATAAACTAGGAGCTTAAAAAGCACCTTTTAAAGTATACACTGGGATGATTATCAACAGTTTGCCCAGCAAATGTGTTTCTGAACTACGGTACTAAAATACCTCACAGTTAAAAATGGTTTCTATAGCTTTGTGTAAGATAGAATTAATCCTGCTTCAATGAACCTTGGCATAATTAATTAATTAATTACAACACAAGAGCAGCAACTACTCACTGCATCCCAGCTCGTCTGCTCCATCCACACAGTCTCTGTCTCCGTCGCAAACATAGTTGGGGTCTATGCAACGGTGGTCGGGACACTGAAACTGTCCTGGGTAGCACGTGGCACCCATATCTGAAGGAGAAAAATTCAATTTATTATTAGCCCCCAGTGCTGACGTTTATATATAACTTAACTTTCTACCACTAGGTTAACAGCAGATTCAGCAAAAATCCCTTAAGCACCATTTCATATTAGGAAATTTGGTTCCTTTAAAAAAATGATTAATCTTTTCTCAACAGTTTCTTGAACTGATGAGGATAAAATTATGATTCATTTTTGATTTATAGGACATAAATTTACCTTGTTAGCTCTTTTGTATGTTTTGGAGGAAAATGTCTCTGATTATATATAAACACAGCATTTGATCCCTTTTTTTTCAGTTATTGGTAACACGTAAAAAGATGCTTTTAAAATCTGAATTAATTATTAATTGTTCTTTAATGAATTTTTGAACAACATCAAAACATCTGATATGTAAATGGAGTGCAGTGGGGGTTGGTGCAAAGAAAACGTTTTAATTATAATTAAAAATATTGGAATAGAAAACCTGTATGCCTGAAAGGTCTAAAATGATCTATAAAAATCAGATATTAAGATGTGAATTGTGAGATGTGACAAGGGTGGACATATGTATGTGTTGATATAAAAATTGTTATTGAAAATAAAAAGTTTTAAAAAAATAAATAAAAATAATAAAAAATATTAACAGCACAAAAATTATTGGCACTCTTATATTAGCTTTATTGCTAATTGGAAGGCAGTTGACCCACACAGATGCTAGAACACATATAGAGATAAACATCAAAATAGATCACCAGCCTATTTCTGCTCTGTCACAAGCTGCACTTTATGTAAACACTACTACATGCTACATTCCTATGCCCAATATTTAATCACAAGGATGTGTTATGCCTCTAGAAGTGTTTCAGACTGTTTTCTTTAAAGTGTTTATTTTCTACTTTTCTTAATGTATTAATTTCTTTTTATTAAATCTCTTTTTTTAATTCATATTGAGTTTTTTAAAGGTATTCTTTAAGGAAGGTTAGAAGGTTGGTTAGAGCATTGTGCCTGGGTCTCGGAGGTTCTGAGTTCAACTCCCACAATTCAAGTCCCACGGACTGTCACTCTGGGACCCTGAACAAGACCCTTAACCACAGACTGCTCCCTGGGCTCCGCACTGTCCCTTTTTGTCACAATTTGCCCACAATCAGCTACTTTCAATTAACTAAGAAATTGTAAATAAAACCTCCCAAAATCTTTATTCTTTATTATTAAAATTATTCTGGTATGTTGTTAAAAGAAAAAAATCATTGAAACCTAACTAACCCTAACAGGAAAAATCTAATTGTATTTACTGTAAAAAAAAAAAAAAAAAAAAAAAAAAAAAAAAAAAAAAAAAGCGATGTAATTTTAATAAATGTTTGGATTATTCGCTAAAATAATACTCTCTTCCATTTATTGTATAGGAACCATTAAGGGTTCCAATAATAACATGTTTTTTTCTGGGTGAATTTGTTGAAAAACAGGCATGATTTTTCTAAAATGCTTAAAATGGAGTCATTTATTTAATTTCCCTTTTAGACTAATGAAGTATTTTTGAATTAAATTGAATTGAATGACATTACTCATTTTCTAAACACCTCTAACTGGGGTGCCTATATTTATGGTGGGATTTTCTAAAGATACTCACAGCAGTGGGCTTCATCAGACCCATCCCCACAGTCATTATCTGTATCACAGAGCCAAGTTAGCGGGATACATTTGTGGTTGGCGCATGTAAACTGATTGGCAGGGCACGTTCCAGGCACCTGTGTGGGGCAGTTGAGCTCATCGCTGTTATCAAAGCAATCATTGTGCCCATCGCAGCGCCACCTTGCTGGCACGCACCTCTGATTGGCACAAGTGAAGGCCGAGGGGGAACAAGTCATATCTAGAGGACACAAAGAGGTTTCGCTTTGATGTAGAACAAACAAATATTACCTATGGGAAAAAAGGTGTGAGAAATGTTTAATTAGTCAGGTTACTGTTGATTCCGCAATGGAGTTCATCAGTGTTGTCGTGGCAGTCATCAACGCCGTCACATTTGAAGCTGTTTGGGACACATTTGCCGTTGCCACAAGAGAAGGAGTTGGCTCCGCACTGCATTGTAGGGGGCTCGTTGGAGGGGTCCTCCACACACGTCTGCTGGTTTGGCGACAGCTTCATGCCATAGGGGCAGCCACACACTCTCTGGGAGTCTGGAGCAGGGAAGCAGAAGTGGCTGCAGTCTCCGTTGGGATTTGTCTGCCTGTTGCAGAGGTTGGAACCTGAGAAGGGGTAGGTGGGAGGGTAATGACCAGGAATATGACTGAGGTCACCCTTACAAGAACAAGAAAGTTAGAGGAGCAGTGAATGAAGCTACTGACCGATCTGAGAGTTGGAGTTAAAAGACTTGACATGCATGATGTGGCTGATTCCTCTTCTAATAACAACCATCTGCCCACCGTCAGTTTTCCGCACACGCACGATGCCACCCAGTCGCCAGTCGGTGAAATATGCATAGCCTTTGTGTGAAAGGAGCAGCAGAGCATGACATATGCTACTCTATCTCTCATCACCAACTGCTTCAAGTAATTGCTTCTTTGACATGATAATGACTAAAGTTAAAGGAAAAGAAACATTCATGGTCTTTAGATGTTAAGGACTTACCATCAAAGATGGTAAGGCCAAAAGGATGAGAGATCTGAGTGATGCGGTCCAAAGAAAGCCTGTTTTGTCCATTAAAGTTGCTGTGCTCAATCTTGTCAAAGAAAGCATCGACCCAATACAGACGCATGGAACTGAAAGGTGTTCAAATCAGAGAGGTGACTGTAGCAATAAGTACAATAAAATAATGAATATTTATTTAAAATGATTTAGAATTAAACCTATTAGAGTGTAACAGAAAATTCCAAAATATCGACTTATGTTACGCCTGATAAGACTGTTTCTATGATTGACTGTGCAGAAACTAAACATTTTCCAATCAAAGAACAAACTATAATCAGCTACAGCAGGTCACAGCAAAACTCTTCAGTGCAGAAGTCTTAACTGCAGCAAGAAAGAAGTTCCAACTGAAGTCTAAAGCTGTAAATAGTAAAAGCTTTAACGCAGGCCTAAATCAGCTGTTGCTTCTGGTATGGACTTTAGCAAATGACACAAAGCTAAGTAATTTTTAATCTTGTTGGACAAATCCAATTCTATCAGGTCATGGACTATTCTGGATTTGGAAATGTTGGCGGCGTTTTGACAAATCTCACAGGTGAGGTAATGAAAAGGCCAACAGGGAACTACACACTGAGCTAGGCTAATTATGTTAATTGCTAAAATAAAGTTTAAAGTGATAAAAAAAATTTAATCTAAGTCTCCAATCCAAGTATTAATAAGAAATGTTAGCCAATTAATAGCCAATTAAACTATTGATCATTGTAATAATCACAAATACAGTGTGACAAAACCTTAAAATAAATATGAATCAGTGAGTAAAAAATAAAAACCCAGCTTTATGAGACACCTTTATATCTGCAAATATATCGCTATCTGATTTTAAAATTGGAACATGGTTGTATTGTTTGGTGTAGGAAAGAATATTTGTGATATTAAAGTCGTTGGTAACATACTTTTAATAATGAATAAGCTTTAACTTTAAAGTAGTGTTTCAGTTTTGTTAGGACTCTGTTTGAAGTGAAATTAAATCTCACTTTACATTTTTAAACACTTTTGAACATCTTTGCAGTAATTTCAGCTTATCATGAATAAGGTTTACATCTGTGTTGTTAGTCTCAATTAAATTACAACAAAATTGTTTTCCTTTTCTCTAAATATCACTTTAAATGTACACAAAAATGTTTGTGTATTTTCTAGGATGCTGAGGGTGACAGCTTTGGGACTATTTTAGACTAATTGTTTCATTTTACTAATTAAGCAATGTGTTAAAAAAAAAATTAATACAATGTGGGGCTGTTGTTCCGAGCGCTCGGATGTAAGATATTTGGCTCACCTCCAGTCAATTGCTAATCCATTGGGCCAGCCCAGGGTAGTGTTTACAATAGACATGGCATGTGACCCGTCACCCCAAGCCCTCATAATCTTTGCAGGACGGTACCAGTCAGTCCAAAAAATATACCTGGTGAAACAACAAGAATAAAAAGATTCCCTTGCATGTTTAATCTAAAAAATATCCAAAGTTGCTACTAAACATCTACCTGTGTGATTTATTTAAAAGTTTCTCTTTGACACGTCTGCAATGTAGAGCTTTTCTGTTTAATCCAGCTTCTTAGTGTTAAATACAACACTGGCCTTCATACTGGGCTAATCTGTGCAGTTAAACACAGAGGCCTCATGACTTTAAGACTATAGGAAATAGCCACTTGTTCTAAATTATATTATATTCAATCAGCTGATGGCCTAATAGTAGAAGGTTTATGAATGGATGATCAGTTCTTGGAATGTGAATCTAAAAATAGAAGGATGATTTTTCTTTAATCATCTTTATCTGTAGAGATCTGTAAATAGGCATAATTTATAAAGTGAGTATAATAAATATAGCAAGAAAAACACAAAATTAAGAAAAAAGAACATTAAAACTCAAGAAATTCAGACAGCATATGACAAACTGAATAATCGCTAGAGCAAAATTTAGCTTTTTTCTGTACATTAACTCAGCAATAAGACTTTAATACACAGTCAGCAATGATCAAACTAGAAATGTGCTTCACGGAACAACATAACCAACGTTTTTCTGGAAAATGTTGCCGTTTGTTTGGATTTACCCAATAATAGGATGCACCACGATGGCCCTGGGGTTGTTCAGGTTCTGTATAATGGCCCTCCTGGACTTATCAGCCAGTCTCAGGACGGATATGCTCCTGTATCGTGGGTCTGTCCAGTAGAGGTTTTTCGAAATCCAGTCATAAGCCAGATCCTCCACTCCCTCCACTCTGTTAGCCGCCAATATCTCCCTGCCTGCACAGATCAAAGCAGTCAGAGCACTGTCTTACTGCAAGATGAAAGAGGAACACATTTAAATAAATAAGCTGTCAGCTGGAATTTTCCTCTCAGAGCAACTCTTAACACAACTGCTGATCAGAGTAGATTTTTTTCTGCTCTTGTCTCTGTGCACCTGGGCGTAAATATGGCTTTTCTAAAACATGGGGGGAAAGCTTCTTTTTAGGTTTTAAAAAGCTTGGTTAATTGTTACAGATCCCCTTTCTATCATCATGAGATTCCTTGATCTCTTAAATCCCTAAACCAGTGTGAGGATGCATGGTAGAGCAGAACAGCAATACTATTATGATTTTAGTTTTATAGAGTTAAAAAATATAGTCACCTGTTCCATCCACCTTTTGTTTGTAAATAATATCTTTTGCAGAGTCAGAGAAAAAGATGGCATCATCCTCAGCGCTAAAATCCACACCCACGAAGTAGGAGGGTGATCCGGTGACCGGCAGGATGATGTCCTCCTGGGAGGACAGGTTAAAGGGGATTCCTCTCACAGCCAGCTGGCTGGAGAACAGCAGAAACTGCCTCACAGCTGGATGGAAGGCAATAGAAGAATGCAGGAGCTAAAACAGCTTTCAAAGGCAAGGAGCTTTGCAAAAAAAATAAAAAATTTAAGGAAAAAAGTTTTGATAACAAATCTTAACTTACGCAAACACCGTTTGCCATCAGCGTGCAGATCATAACCAATGCGACATTTGCAGCGATAACCAAGTCCTCCATTGTCACTCCTGTGACTTAAAACACAGATCTGCTCACATCCACCACTGTCCACACTGCAAGGATTTGGCACTAGAGACAGGCGGAAAAAAATCAAAAACACTTGATTTTTAAACATTATAATCCTTAACAACATTTGCTGGTTCTAAAATTAAAACTAGGGAAGCAGGATAGTGTAATTTTTGCTCATATCAGATAATTGTTTCTGAAACTTTGAAAAGCTTTAAAAACGATCAGCACCACTAACAGGTTTACTTCATCTCTTCCGTAAGACTCATCCATCAATTGGGTGCCTGCAATCTGGGCAGGCATAATCCTCACTGATTGTCACAAAAAACAGTACCTTATATATTAGTGGATTATTAGTAAATGGCTCATGAATATCATCCATCTCCAATTACAACAACACTTTTAAAAAGTGTTAAACTACACACATTGAGCAATCTTCCTGTTATTGGAATTTGACCATTTTCAGCTAAATTGGGCCTTGTTTGAGTAGAAAAAGCAAAACAAAAATAATCTTCTTTAAGTTGAAACGAACCACATAAAGGTGCTATTAGGTTGTGCAGACAACAACACTCTTTATAGCGATGCTTCTAGTTAAGTAAAGAAGAATTAAAGCTATATATGAGTTGTTTAAAACATAAGAGTAACACAAGAGGTGAAGAAAACTATTCCAAGCAAGTAGCGATAGACTTCAGGGGGAGCTGATGTATTACTTCCTCCTGTTTCATACTTTTGACACAAAATGAGCTGCATTCCCCAGGGTACCGGTAATCATTTGTATCCCTTAGGAAACATTTTGTTAACTTTTGAAGGGACCAAACCGCCCAGCACATACTGGCTGAAAAAGCACAAAAATGCAACAAAGAATTCAAAATGAAACATTATTTGCTATTCATTTAGGCTGCAGGAAAGCAAGATTTTCAACAGATTGCAATGAATCTGAATTTACTAAAGTGCAAAGTCAACCTTCTTTCAGCCTCTGTCTGTTATACACTGTCAACCCAAGCCAAAGTACTTATATTAATTACTACATTTAACTTTCATTTGGGTTCAATTGAGTATTTCTGAAGTCTGAGGTCCAGAATACTCAGAATATTTCTTTTAACATCAGAACTTTTGATTTATGCATATAAATCTTTGGAATTACTATACTTAGTATACTAAACTAAATAGAAGTAGAAGTTATTCTAGACTAAATCATCAAAATCTTTATTAGAAGGTTAGAACTTTATGAAAAGTGCAACGAAATTAAAAATTAACCATAACTCTGATAAGTGCACATCTGCTAATAACTGCAGGGGGGCTTCTGTTTAGGATTTCAGCTACTAGAAAGCTTACCTTGTGGTTGCTTTAGCTGATGTATAACTGCTACTCCATGTGGGGTGTGAGATGTAGAGTAAATCACATGTGGATTGCTGTCAGTAAACTTGTTTGCTTTTATCACGGCCATCTTGGTCCAGTCCGTGAAATAGACATTGTGCTCAAACAGACTGATGCCAAAAGGATGTGGGACCACAGCCCCCCCATGGGCAACGGTTTTCCTGTCAGAACAAAAATGGCAACACAGTAAGTAATTAGTAATAATGGAAATATCTCTTTGTGTATTTTCTAAAATCATCTAAAAGAATTTAAAAGTTTTTAATCATTCATCTAAAGGTATTTAGGATACAAGCTCGAAGGAGTTTAACACATGAAGTACCTGTGCAGACCGTCATAGGTTGCCGTTTCAATATAATCATAGCGGCTGTCAACCCAGTAGATGCGCTTCGCCTCTATGTCTAGAGTGATTCCAGAGGGCCAGCCTAGTTTGGTGCCAATAATCCCATAACGATTGGTACCATCCATGAAGGCCCGCTCTAGGCCTGGCAGACCGTTTGCTGCCTCCCAGTCTGAGAAGAACATATACCTTTAAAAAAAAGAAAAAGAGAGGTTTCTCAATGTATGCGTGGAAAAGCAACACAAAAACACATACCTGGCCTAAAATTGTACAATTAGAGAACTTTTTTAATTAGGCATCTACAGTAGGATAACTCTATGTGGGTGGCAGGGCATCCACCAAAGAGCTAAGCAATACTTTGAGATAAGGAGTTTCTGTGGAGCCACCTGGCTGCCGCTCTCCCTTGAACTACACTATAGGATTACAATGAGGGTCATCACTTACATTGGTCCTCACTAATCTCTCTATGGCAATCTGTTAATCTCAAACATCCCACCCAATTATTCCATGCTATTGGAGCAAAGCAGATTGTGGGGACTGCTGTTGGCTGGATTAATTAAACGATGAAGAAAGGGGCATGCGCTTACCCGACAGTGGGGTCCACCGCCAGTCCTCTAGGGTTTCCGAGGTTTTCAGTGATGAGCGTAACCCGGTTGCTTCCATCCAAGTTCACCATTTCAATTCTATTGACGCTGGCCTCCACCACATACAGTTTATTGTTCACCCAGTCCACTGCCAGATTCTCAGGATAGTCAACTGATACATTTAAAACCACCTGCATGTTGGAACCATCCATATGCACAGAAAACACCTGGAGATAAAAGATGCCATTGTGGTCAGCTTATTAGTGCGCTGATGGGAAGTCCTTATCAGATTAAAAGGAAATTACTGGCGTTTAAACCTAGAATGGTATCTTATTAACAAACTTTCAAGTTCAAATTTCCTTTTTGTTATTAGTTGCACCTAACAAAAGCATACAACTTTTTAATTATCCCAAATCTATTCCTGCTTTCCTTGTTTTATTCCACGTGCAGATCAGACAGAAGCCAATATATACAGATATAAGTTTTTGGTTTTCTTTTTTTTTTGTTTGTTTGTTTGATTTTTTGTTTGTTTCTTTCTTTCTTTCTTTTTGGGCGAGGGGGGGCTCAGCACAGTTTCACAACTGTTTGTTTTAACTGTTATATTATCAATTATCCTTTGCTAAAGCTAAAGGGGGATCGGCTTTATTTTTAACGCCTGTAGGAGTTTGTCAGGAAAGAATTTCAAAATAAAAGCCTCCAATATATACAATAATAGTAAAAAAGCTTGATTTAAAATTGGAAGTTGATTCTATATTACTGGTGGGTCTGAGTAGACACACCCATACCAGAATTTCAAAATAAGACACCCTGTACTCTGCTAAATAAAAGCCTTTGCATTTCACAGAACAATTCACTCCAGCATAGGACTCAAGCTTATGAACCAAACTAGGCCAGTTTTGGAAATTTGACTACCAAAGCCTTTTCACAACATATCCCACTGAAAATTTCTAAATAAAAACTTCCCCTTACCACAGTAATAAAGTGTATATTAACTTAATAATAGGGAAAAGGGTGATTTAAAATGTGGAAAGGGATTCCACATCACTTTTGGATCTGACCATATCCTAGGACACACCCATGCCAGACTTTCAAAATAAGACACCTAGTAGTCTACTGAATAAAAGCCTATGAGCTTTCGAAATTAGATTACAAAACTTCAAAATAAAAGTCTCCCAATCCTCATCTTTAAACATCATAATAGGGAAACAAAGATTTAATGAAAATTACAAAGGTATTGAAAATATTCTAATAGAACCCATAATAAATAAATTACTTCCTATCAGCCACTGAATTACCAATAGGCGACATAAGTTGTCACAAATTATGGCAACGTAAGCAGCCAAAAACTATGGCAATGCAAGTTGCCTGCAAAATATGCTGACACAAGCTGCCACAAACTTAAAAATAATCAAGAAAGACCACGCAGAAAGGGGAAGACCCCTCCAAAAATTAGCAGGAATTTTCTAGTTAATTATATATCATTATCATTATATTATAACATTATTCGATGGTGGTGCATAATTGTAAATAAAATTTAAAAAAAAATAAAAAAGAATAAGAATGTCTAATTATAATTTTGGCTAAAGTAAAAAATACTTCTTGTGCTTTTGTTAATAATAAAAGTAGTATAGTTATTAATAATAGTGTAATATAATAAATATAATACTTATTAGATTATATTCCTCAGTATTATTGTAGTGGCATTATCAATGGTAATATTGGCACTATCATACAAAGCTAACAATGTCATCATTGAAAAAAAATTTTGCCACTGGCCCAATTAATATAAGTAGACCGATTTTAAAAACAGATGTTTATTTTCATTCAGTTGCATTTTGTGTTTCAGGAGGGGAAGGGGAGCAGATTGGTCATGAGGTATTTGTTTGTTGATGATGCGTTGCAAAGGTTTAGCAGAGATTCGATTTCACTGTCGTTTGTTGTCGTTTTTTTAAAGTGATCAAAGGAGAAAAATAAATAGACTACATATCTTCAATAATGGCTATATTAAAATAAGATTATAAAATAAGCTCAAATTTTTATATAAATATAAATTGAATTATGTGAAGATCTCTTATCAGCCCATGCCTATAGCAAACAAAACCTTTTGTGTAAAATGTTTGAGAGCGTTGATGAAGTTACAGGTTAAAGATAAATAAAAATACCTCATTAAACGTGACATAGACAGAGAGTGTTTGACCTCTGAACCTGCTACTGTACCACTGTGAACCTCAAACTCAATCTGCAAGCCTTGGCACTATGCAGCCAGCCAAGAGGCAGGGCTTTTAGCAACTCTGCTTTTTATGGAAACCAGATCCAGATATCTAGAAAGCAGGATTTCCAACTGACCTGTTTAAAGAGAAACCAAAGACGTGGAAATAGCCAGGTAGTTTAACCTTTCCGGTTGCATTCAGATGCCCTGTTTGTGCTCTCCCTACATTTAAACTGACATACTGCCTTCGGTGTGACAATTATACAGAGATGCTCTGTCAGAGGTATGTTCCAGCCTTCCAGCTAAGCCATAGTAGCTTGAACCAAAAAGAAGCCCCAGGTCTAGTCAGGACAAAGCCCCTTTAGCTTGCAAAAGAATGCTTACAAATGGACAGCACCAATGAAAATGAATACAGCATGATTAGTTCTAACAAGATCGAGTTACAAAAATTAGGCCTTGGTATGTCAATATCATATGAGCCTATCAGACAGGCTCAAGATTAAGCCATTTGGATTCTATTACATATCTTTTTCCCTCCATTATGAGCCAGCCACCACGGGACCACTAGCTATTCCATTATTATAGTATCAACATTGCTGATATTTTAAAAGATTATTAGAAGAATTTGTTCTTGGCTACTAGGAGATTACCTCAATTCATGAGAAAAACTAAGACGGGCACAATTCTTACAACATGTTGAAGTGGTGAGGAAGTCAAATAACTGACAGGAGGAAAATAAAAAAGGCAGAAAGTAGAAAGCACCTTATTTTGTATGGTATCTGACCAAAAGATCATACGCCGATCATAGTGGAAGTCGACTCCAACAGCAATTCCTCTGTTCTGTGAATTGACTAAAGTGCGCAGACTGTTGCCATGGATGTCACCTATTACCAGATCTCTGCCGTTAGAAAAAACTAGGAAAGGAACTCCAGCTGAAATGAAGAAAAAGTGCATAAGAAGAAAAATGTAACATACATTGTTATTAAAATTCTCTTATTGAAACATCAGATTTTTGTTCCTAAAGCAGATTCCTGACAACACAGGAGAAACGTTTGCTTACTATCACTATAATGATTTTTACCAATACTTAATTAGAGGTCACTGTTTTAGTAAAAACACTTTCTACACTTAAAGAAGCAAATGGACTCAATGAAGCTAGATACATTTTTAGCAGATAAAAAAAGGTATAGTACGGACTACTCTAATGCACTTTATTTAGTATTATCACACACATAGTCATAAACCACTTAAAAGATATAATAAACAATTTGTGAAAGAGCCACTCACTAGATACGTCTGCTCTGCAGTAGCGATGTTGCTCCAGAGTATAGCCCTCCCGACAGCTGCAGCGATGGGATCCTATGCGGTCCTCACACAGCTGGTCACAGACGCCCCACATGGAGCAGTCGTCAAAGTCTTTAATGTGATGGAATAAAAAAATTAAAAAACAGGATCAAAACCGAGGCCAACGCAAAACTAAACAGGCACACAGGCAACTACAAATTTAAATAGAAATTTGCTCAATCTAACAGTGCTTTTAAACGTATCCAGGAGCAATAAACAAAATGTTAACTTCAGTCTCTTGTTTAAATAACCAGGCCAGTCGCATACATGTATATGTGAATATATGTGTATTTCAACAGATATGTGTATTTTAACAGCTGCCACTCAGGGCTTACTAGCGCAGAATAGCAGCAAAATGACACACAGTGCTTCCAGTGGACCAAAGCATTCATCTTGAGCATCCTGAAGACAATCAGCACCCATTATTGATGTTTCCAGATAAGAAAAGGGATAAAACGATGATTAAAATTGGCATTGTGATTCCAAGGTGGAGAGCAGTTCCAAAGCAGAAGCAGCTCCAGTTTGACTCAGAGCTAGTTTCTCTCCTCCTGGACTGATGAGGAACAGCATGAAGTCAAATCATAGCTTTTGTTGGTGCTATAGATACTTATTAGACTTGTTTTGCCATGTTGACTCAGTTCAATGTAATACTATAATTGTGGGTAAATTGTAGGAGTTAGACCAGCAATGGACACTACTGTACATGATCATCACGTACAATCAGGGCATTCTCTCTTTGACAAATAATCTAAAGCTAAAACAGGTAACTGGTACTAGATTTTTTATTCCAGTCAGTAGTATCACCTGGTAGTTGTCCCTGCCTTGTCTACTCCTTGTAGTTATGCCGAGTCCTTACACTGACAGCAACTTGAGCATATTGTCTCTTTTATTTTCAATAAAAATGACACTGCAAGGAAAACAATAGATCCCACACTGTATACAAAATTAATGAAAACTAAACAACACAATTTTTACAGTCTGAATTTAATGGGATGAATTATATTATTATTCTAATCAAATGACCTGGTGTGGCATATTATTGAGCTTGATAGAAAGTTGTATTAGAATGTACCTTTGTTTTGGTCTGCACAGAGTGCTCAACGTGCACCTCTAATGGTGAAAATGCACTTCTTGCTCCTTTAAACATTTCCATATATAGCCTTTTTAGTGCTACAGGTTTTATCAATATCTCAAATGTCTCCTAACTCAGAGAAGGAAAAAAAATCATATTTTTATTTAACTTTTATTCAAATCTGAAGCTGGTGGTTTGCAATCATCCTTAATTGCTTTACATAATGACCCCATGTTGTGATAATAGCTGGGTGTCTTTACCAGCTTTGTAAATCTTGGAGACAATTTGTCCATTTCTCTTTGTAATGCAGATTAGATGATGACTCAAAAAAGTTAAAAAAAACAATCAACTGGACTTTGTTTCTGAGTTTGAAGACATTTTGCTTCCCATCCAGGAAGGTTTTTCAGAAATGATTTTGGATTGAAAAAGCTTCCTGAGTACGAAGCGAAACGTCTTCAAACTATGAAACGAAGTTCAGTGGATTGTTTTTTTTTTTTACTTTTTTTGGAATGACTATGACCTGGATGACTGAGAATCTTCACCAGCATTAGATGATGACTTTATCCTATAATCTCTTATTTCTTCTTCCCCCTATCCTGTGGGTCTTCAGACGTGATGAGAGTGAGGCTAATAGCCAACCTACTGATTATTAACTTTAAGGGTAAAGATGTAAATACCTATACAGGAACGACTGTCATTGCTGCTGACAATGTAGCCGGATGGACAGGAACATGCTCCTCCACTGGGGGACGGGTGGCAGTGATGCTCACAGCTCAAAGTAGCACACCTCAAGATGCCTGAAAAACGGATAAATCATACTATTTATCGGTGTTCATAATGACAAATTGGCAGAAAGCAACAAACACTCTATGTGTACTAACTGCAGTTGTGTCCAGCAGTGGTGTTAGTTTCATCCTCTCCATCAGGGCAGTCAGCCTGCCCATCACACAGCTTCTCCATGGGGATGCACAGCCCAGAGGATGGACAGGGCCACTCCCCTGGGTAACACTCCCGTGGAACATTATCTAACAAGAAAATACACAACTCACCTTTATTTTCAACTGTAATAAGTTGTCTGCAGAGGAAAACGGTCATTTTAAAATAAAATAAAAACAAATAGGCTAGAAATGTAAAAAAAAAAAACTAATGAAAATGAACAAAGATAAATGTAAAACGCTAAACCAGATAAATAAAATTTAAAAGAGGCCTATTGAGGAAACACTATCGAGTAGGCCTGAACCCAAGGTTACGCTCAAATTGTACAAAATTGAAAAAAAAAGAGAAAATAATAATATTGTTGCTAACATTGTCATTGTTTCTATAACTATAAAGTACAAACTTTATGAACAAAATGTACAGCAACATTGCTTGAAAATATAATAGTTGATTGCATTATTTAGAACCATTCAAATTTTTACACAAAATAAAATATAATGTAAAATGGTTCATAACATAATTTATTACATAATAAAAGGAAATACCAAACATCAAACAAAATGAAACTAGAAGGTTTTAGATGTGCTGCAAAATGAGAGCAACTCTCGAACCATGCTGAAATGTCTCCACAGGAATCCTGATCTAAAGAAAATTGTGACTAAGGAGCTGTGGGGGTACGCAGGGGGCTCAGGGGGCTTCTGCAGCCCTTCCTTTAAAAACATACACTCTTCACAGCCATGTGGAGGGATTCTAAAGCCTCCTCGGGGGGCTGCGCAATCTTGTGCCACAAAGAGGCATTTGAATAACACACTTAAAGGAGTGCAGGCATAGCGTCTTGACAAACCAAACCAACCATGGAGACCAAAGATGAATCAGGTTTCTGTGGCCTCAGTTCCTGCCTGTTTTAGGGCTGTTTAACCTGCTAAATATCCAGACCCACTGCCTCCAAAAATGACTAATTTATTATATTGGATTAAAATTCCAGCTACTGTATACATACCACAGCCTTTTTCATCAGCATTGTCCTCACAGTCATCCTCTCCATCACAAAGCCAGACCTGGTGGATACAGCGACCGCTAGGACAAGTGAAGTAATTTCCTCTGCAAGCAGGATACGCTGAAGGACAAAAAGCCGAACTAATGTGTATTTATCCAAGCTAAAAAGCCAAAATTAGCATTGTTGATTGAAGGAAAAACAGACTGTACAGAGACTGGTTCTACATACTGCAGTTTAACTCATCACTCCGGTCTCCACAGTCATCGTCATGGTCACAGACGTAGCGTTGAGGAACACATAGCCCATTATTGCATTGGTGGAAGCCTGTATTGCAGTGCTGTGCTATGAAAAACAGAACACAACAATCAAAAGCTCCATTGCTATTCCTTCATCTACGTTTCACCTTTTGAATTTATTATAAAATAGATGGCTTACTGCAGTTTGCCTCATCAGAGCCGTCACGGCAGTCAAGTATATGGTCACATCTTTGAGTTCGGTTATAGCAGGCCCCATTGGCACACCTCATCTCTGTACACCGAGGGTAATCTGCAAGATTAAATCATCATCAGGCCAGTGTTATGCATGGAAATAGACGTTACAAAATGACCCCTTTATAGCTCTTAACACGTGAAAAACCTTATGAATGGGAAGGATAACAGACTAAAAATCAAAAGCACTACCATAACAACGGTGGTTGCCACAGCATTCTTTGTACAATTGCGAGATTACCACAGTTCGTTTTGCTATGGGACTAGCATGTCGGCACAATAATGGCATAGCAGCTGAACTTCAGCTTGACTAATCCACCAAGGAATCTGCAATCAACCTCTGACAACAAGAAGCATATTGTGGCCCCTTGTGTCAGTCAGCGAGCCTCTTAATCTTAACAAATTGATTAAAATGCCACAGGAGCCCAAGATAAAAAGAAGAAGGAAAAAAATCCATCGAGAAGAAGACTTACTGCAGTTGGTCTCATCAGATCCATCTAAGCAGTCTGCCAGGTGGTCGCAATGGTATTCTCCTGGGATGCACGCGCCGTTGCTGCAGCTGAACTGGCCACTGGTGCATGTCCTCCCAGCTGAGATGTAATTAAAGAAATATTTAATAAAACAACAGCTTTATAGCTTACAATACTTTGGAACAAGATAACAAGACCTTTTGAACTTCAATATTCTGCAATTACAAACCTCTTTTGATTTTAATGGGATTTTATTAGACTGACCAAACAAAATTCTACTGAGTGGTGAAGTGGAAAGGTAAATAATTCTGTTTTTGAAATCGAATCTAAAACATGCAGGATGCATTTGTATTCACCCCAAGGTGATTATAAAGATTACTGCAACCTTTCAAAACAATTACATCAGTCTTTTGGAGTAAGTTACCTCCAGCTTAATTCATCCAGAGACCAAAATTTATGCCAATATTTTGTACTTTTGCAAAGTACTGATGTGATGGACTTTTGTGGTGTGGTTCTGGACTTCTGTGGACCATTCCAATGCAGCCATGAATCTCAACCTCTTTCAAACCTGAACCTCTTTCACTTTTTCAAAATTCTCACCTTTAATTCCCCGGTTTGGTTTCACACAGAGATCAGGGTTAGAGAAACTTTAAACACACCCAGAGTTTTTCTATCTGCAAGCCAATATCGGACATTTAGATGCAGGCCGATACAATCTGATGGTAGCTTTTTGCTTAATTTCAGACTCATATCTGATACCTTTATCAGATTGGGACGCCTCTAATAAAAATGCACCTAGAAGAAAGTCCATCTCATGGGGTTTCTGTTGCTGCTAAGGAATTCAGGTTTAGTTGTACGCCTGCACCTCTTTCCAAATAGCTCCACAAGACATTTTGAAAATGTTTGCTCTTCAGGTTCACACTCTTAATTAGTTCTTCTTATTGTTCTTCTCAAGTGTCCCTCTTTCTGTTTTTGGAAGTACTTATGCCATGTCTTCCGAACATTTGAGGGCTAAGGATCTTGTCAAGGACCCAGAATGACAGTACTTGTTTCAAAGCAATAATGGTGCAGCCTTTCCAAGATGGAAGATGAAAGATTTCCTTCTTGTCACTTTCTCATTAAGGCCCTATCTACGGCGTCACCATAAATAGTTTTTCAGTCAGCAGGTTCTCCCACTAGAGCAGTAGATCTTTGCAGCCCCTGACAGTTTCAGCAGATGCCATGTTTTTGTAGGTTTGAAGATTGAACATTGTTCTGGGAGAGGTTTAAACTTGAAATGCAGTTCTATAAGAACGTCACTCAGCTTTTCACTTCTCCACAGCTTTCTGTCTGCTTGTCTTGGTGACCTGGTGTGTCCTTTTGTCTTACTGAAGATATTTCTTCACATGTTCCGATAAATGACATCATACAGTATGTTCTTTAACAAACCTCTGAGATATTTCTGTTACCTCATCAGGTGGCATCTGGAGGCAATCCCTCTCACTAAAATTGTTTTATAAACCATGTAACACTTTCCTTTCAGTGCAAAATGTGCAATATTTCAAATAAAAAATCCTAATAAATAGAAAAAAGCAAAGCCTGCATTCTGAATCTATAACAAATAATGGATGGCAAATGACAATATTTGCAGAGAAACTATGGAAAAGTTGCTGTTGATCTGAAGTGTACTCACGGCAGTGCCTCTCATCTGAGCTGTCCTCACAGTCCTCCTCATTATCACACAGCCATACAATGGGGATGCACTCGCCGTCACTCAGGCACTGGAAATGACTGTCATCACATGTTACCTGAGCTGTCAGAATACACACAAAAACACATCATTATTCACCCCCGCAGAGTGAGACATATAAGTAGATATCAGAGTGAAGCCTGTGTATTTGTGCATTCCAGCAACAGGAAATACCAGAAGTGCTTTACATTATTGAAATATAAGAAACAAAAACACATAAAAAGGTAATCTGCACTAAAAAATAATAAAGAAAAGTAAAGCGTTGCTACAAACAGAATAAAAGGACATAAAGAAACTATAAATAAACTGGTTATTGATCTAGATTTAAAGCAATTTAGGGTTTCAGCAATTTAACAGTAGTCTGAGGATTCATTCAAGATCAGTGGAGCAAAAGAACGAAAGTGTTTCTTCATGTTTGGTTCTGGTTCTTGGTGTATAGAGCAGACTTAATCTAGAAGACTTGGGAGGTCTGGACAGATGATCCTCTGACAACAAGTCTGTAATATTTAGACATTGAATTATCTACAGACTAACAGAGGTATTTTAAAGTCTATTATCTGATATTCAGATAATAGTGGGAGCCAGTAGAAGGACTTTAGAAATGGGGTGATGTGCTCCACTTAGTGAGGATGCTGGCTGCAGCTTTCTGAATCAAATTCCACTGTTTGATTAACTTTTTCACTGAATAACTTCTTTAAGGTCTTACTGGGACATTGCTCTTTTAATCCTGGAAATATTCTTCCAGTGATACTTGTCTCTATATGCCTCTGAAGGTTCAGGTCTGAGTCCATCACTACACCCAGATTTTGAGCCTAATAAGAAGTAGCACTCAACAACACTTGTATCTGAGGAAATAGAACAAGCTCTTAGGTGTAACATGGCTAATTTGCCTTGTAGCTACATGTTTTGATCCTCTCCACACATATTATGGAGATACTGTATGCTTTAACTTACGGCAGTCGTGTTCATCGGAGTCATCGCTGCAATCTGACGCTCCGTCACAGTGCCATTCACCAGGTATACATCGACCCGTCCCACACCGAAACTGCCCCAATTCACATCCTGCACACAGATACAGATTCTTTACATTTTTGTTACTTTCCTGCATTAATTAAACTTGGTTACATCAATAAATGATCTTCTTGAAAAAATAGATGTTTTTTCTAAGTCTAAGCGCATATAGGGAGGAGGTGAAGCTTTCCCCTGATTAAGTATGCTGTTAACAGCAGCGACAAACCTCGGAGACAAGCGTGCCAGCCATCCCCAGACACTTCTACTAACCTCACTTCACTCATCTTCAACTTTCTTTTGATGTTCCCAGAGAGTGGCATCTGCTGAGATAAGGTACCACCGCTCTAGCTTCCCTGATGTTTTCCAGGAGAGATTGATTCAGGCGGCACAGTTCAGAGACAGAGCACTCCATCAGGCCCAATCAAAGAGGAATGTGCAATTTTGATGGTCTCTTTGACATCTTGATATATAGCGTGCTGCCCCTGTCCGTTCTGAGATGTAATTAGAGTAAATAGTGGTACTGGGTGGTACCAGAGCCATTCCAACACACATTCTCTGCAGGAGCAATATATATGTATAGGCTAAGAGACAATAGTTTTTAATTTATTAAGGGAAATCTATGTATTTGTTTTGTTTACATTGACTATTAAATTAGCTAAATATCAGGATCATAATTTTAAATAAATTAAAGAAGATACGTGAAGCTGCAATAGTATTTTATCCCTGAAAGTCTAAGTTGATGATACCAGGTATATGAGCTCAAAATTGAAAGTTTTCATCATAATTGCTGTGAAGAGAGATAAACTCCTCTACAAGCTAGTAAAACACGTGCATGCCTTTTTCTCTGCTCACCCTACCCAGCGTCACACTTAACTGCTCTTATAAAAAAAAAAAAACTCAGCAAAATAAGCTGCATATTTAACTCATTGGATTGATTATCCTCTCCTGCTCGGTTCAATAATGATAAAACTGCTCGGATCGCTTTCAAAGGGAAGCTTGTTTCAAGGCAGCGATCCCTGAAGCTTCGGCATCGTCAAAAGCATCAAAGCAGGTAAAATGAGCAAAAAGCTGCATTCAGTTCAGGAATCAGATATTTACCCTGACATCAACCCTCCAGACCTTAAGCATCCATTGACTTCTGCTTTAGAACTATATGCCAAATCAGTTTGTGTCAGTGTCTCATCTAAATATACCCTTGATAAAGACTTTGAAATAAATCTAACTCAGTCAATCTGAACCTCCTTTTAGCCACATTTTAACACTTATAGGCGGCTTCCTGCGGCTGTTGTTTCAACTTTAATCCAAAATTTCCAAGTAGGGTTTAATGAAAATTGGCTAAGGCAAGAGATATTTTCTACTGAATAAAAAGCACATTTTTAAAGGGTAGTTATATGAAAAAAACATGATATTAAAAAAGCATCTAAGAAAAAAAAAGCTACATCAAAAGTAATGTAAATGAACATCTGAAGCAGTGTGTAGATGTGTGTAGATGCCGTACATGCAGACCCAGGCTGGCAGCTATGCCAAGGGGTAACTAATCTGCTGGAAACAATTCAATACAGACAGTGTTTCCTCACACCATTACCTCTACAAAAGGTGGCACATTCAACACACGGAAGCTGAAACTTTAAAAGTCACTATTTCAGGTGAGGGCTTTTCCTGCTTCCTTTGTAAACATGCACCTGTCAGGCCTTTTCTGGCTCATTGCAATATTCCCCTTTATACATTCCCCAGATTCTGATTATAATCATTTAAATTTTATTTTTCTATGTATTTAAATAGATATAAAATTTGATATTAAGTACTGCAGATTATTTATAAGCATGTCTAAACCTTGTAAATGCAATGCAAATGCATCAAGCATTTGTTCCTTGGCTTTATCTTATTCTGATATGTTTAGAGTTCATTTTACAGGAGTTTTTATTTTTGTCTGGATACATTTACAGGAAACAATGTTTGTCTTTAAGTTTCATAACGATGATTCATTAATCTAAAATTGTCTAATTCGGATCATGAGTCATCAACCAGTGCATTTGTACTTTAGACCTTTTTTCTTAATATTCAAATGTCTTAAACCTGATAGATGGGTGGTTCTAGACGGGGGGCTAACAGGGGCCAATGCCCCAGTTTAAGTGTTCCTGGCCCCTGTTATGTCCCTTATATAAGACAAAAACAATATATATTTAGGATAAAAAGATTATGTGCGCACAAAAAAAACACAGCTGATAGGTCCCTTATAGTGATTTAAATAACACTTTTTTTACAATTTTATTTAAAAATTATTTTGTGGCACTTTTAGCTTCACTCATATTGAGTTAGAAACACAGTTTTTATCTGCTAGATCTGAGGTTTCCAGAGCTGCAAGTGGCTCTCTGTGACTCAGTTAGTATATCAAAGGATGGAGTTATAGAAATGCTACTGAACTAAAACAATATTTACAGTATGTCAATAAATATTGTTGAAGCTAAAGTGCAAATCTTTTTATTCTTGATCTGACTGTTAATGATTTGAAGCTAAGTCTTTTTTTGGTTAATTTACTGTTTTCCTTTCCCTTAATTACCAACTTAAATGCACAGCAGGAGAGATCACAATCTGTAAGGGAAGATAAGAACTTCCTACAATCGGCCGACAAAGACATGCATTAGAATGAAGCAACCTAAATTCTCCAAGACCCCTCTGGGGAAATTACAATGGTGTAAAACAAGGTGCCAACTGAGACGGAGAGTTATTATTGCAAAGGCCATTCAAGTAAAAAAAAAAAAAAACTGTTTTGCAGGTCAACAGCAGAATTTTGAAGGAACAAATAATTAAGGTAAAACATAAATGTAGCAGAGGTCTGGTGTGCAAGAAACATTTCTGGGCATATATTGGGGAACTAAAAGATGTTTTTGAGCTTTCATCAATGCCGTCCTGTTTAGGCACAGCCGTCACCTCGGACTGAATGTGTGTAGAAAAGTTAAGAGGACGGCTGCTGGCAGCGTAGATGCAGGACCCGTCCATGCTGTCAAAGCGAAGTGCTGCTGCCTGTTTCATATGGAAATCGATGCAGCAGAATGCCATCAAATGCCAAACAAGTGACTTTGGCTCTCAGTAGTACACTCAAAAACAGGTTAAAAAAAAACCTATGGGCTTGGAAGCAAGAGGGAGGCATAAATAGAAGAATAGAGGCAAGGCTTGGTCTGAACTGAGGAATGCTCAGGATAAAAACAACAGGAATTACGTTGTCAAAATATCGACAATACTAGGAAGAACTGTACAACTTCTTTTTGGTGTTGTTGACAGTGAGTAACAGCTAACCAGAAGTGCATTAGAAGTTGAACTAACGTGGACAAGGGTTGGTGGGAAGGGATTTATTCCAGTTTCTAATAAAATGTTTCTGTTGCACAATGTTTTAGTCTTTCACACTGGAAAGAAGTCTCCATGTCTAGGGTTTTATTAATGCATGAGCCACACCAGGATGAGTTTAAATGCAAAGGAAAACACTGAGTAGCAGAAGACAAACTCTAACTTGCAGTTCTATAACATTTAACCGCAAAATCTGACCATTATGTTGCACGGTCTATCATTTTTCCACATGAATGCATAAAAATGCTCTTACTGTGCACTTTGGAGGAGCTTTAGGGACCTTACTAGCAAATGATCAGCAAAGAAAAACAATTCATTGACAAACCAAACATGTGAAGAGCAACAAAACCATGAGAGGGTGGTTAAAAACCCAGCAGCGTGAAATCTCTTTTAAGACTGTCACATTAGCCATTAAGGTTGGCGTAAGCATTAAGCAGCAGTATCAATCTCACAGCCAGGATAACAGGCTCCAGAAGGTACAAGAGCAGGAACGATTATCAAAATAAGGGATTTCTGTAGAGGATCAAGCAGAGATTAGAGAAAGTACCCTCCTCCCCTTGTAGTAAAACAGCAGGAAGGAGCACATGTTTATTTAATCCGACTCATCTTATATACCCAAAGCTGTCACCACATATTTACATACACTGTAAAAAAAACACACATCTTTATTGCTTTCTCACATTAAATCAGAATTACCTCTTTTTTTTTTGTCTGAATAAAACATTTTTTATTGATTTTTTTTACTTTATTTTTATACTGCAAGATTAATACCTAGAAGATGATGATGCAGCAATAAAAAATCTTCAGATAGGTCCATTCTATTGCTCGATATTCTATTAAACTGTAATCATATTTGCAATATTGATTTCTCCAATAGTACAAATGTAATGGATTGCATGGATGTAATTTTTGTTGGTAACCTCAATTCAATTATTATAAATTCAAACTCTGCATGACAGTGGGAGGTGGATACCTCTGGTAAAGATGAAAACAATGAGGAAATAGGGAGCATCATAATGATTACAAAGAAAGAATGATCTCAGAACAGGATGGGTTAATTCTAATATGTGTTTTATTATACAGTATCAAAATACAGTTTCCCAGCTTTACAGCTGTTAATTCATAACATTTTAGTGAAATCTCAGTCTAAGGCAACACATAAAAGTTACTGCCGTCTTGTTTGATCAAATTGAACATAAAAAAGAAATAATTCATGATGTTGGGAAGACAGCTGTTAACCTACAGGTCTGAGACATCCTTGGGTTTAATTTTTAGATGCCTTATGGATCATATGTTCAAACATCAATGACCCTGGTAGGTTGGGAATTTTTCAACCAAAATATAACTCTCAAACATGCAACCCCAGAACAAATAATGAGGGTGCTGTTAAGATTCTGGCTAAAGCTAGAAGGAGAGTGTCATTATGTAGAGTGAAATTTCTCCTGTGTTGACATGGCCACTCTGTAAGGAAGAAGTCATCAATGCTTTATTAGGCAGAATTTAAAAGGTGTGTGTGTGAGGTGGCTTACAATCCTGGATCATGCAAAACCAAGTCTGTCAGGGGGAATGGGCCAAAATTTCAGCAGATTACTGTGACTAGTATGTGAAAAGGGTGGGCGTTACTCAAACAGAGAACAATAGTCTACAACAACAGGTACAGCTACCTGTATGGGAACAGAAGGGGATCAAAGTGGTGTTTCTATCTATACATCAATGTCAGATTGGGAGATCCCTAGTTTGAGCTGACTCTGAATTCAAATCAGTTTTTAACATTCACACAGAGAAAATACAGTGAACTGAATCCAATCATGTTCACCAATTTAAAGCCAGTTACACAGATTCCAGTTTGATAGTTATAGAACAGCGCGCTCAAATTACGTTTATCAGGCCTTCACTGATAAGATTCTCTATTTAATAGATCTATGCCGATTCATGGGGTGGTTGCTATCCCTCCTTTTAAAAAGGCTAATGCAACACAGGACAGTCGATTGCACCAAGTTGTTAAGTTTGCAGTAAACCGTTATACTAAGCATGCATGTGGTGACAGTAGAAAGGAAAAAAACTTCCAAAAATATTCAAGTCAAGCAGCTTCAAAGAAACGCTTTCCATATAAATACATTCATTCTTTCTCTTATTATGCTAGGATTTCATGACCTAAAATTGGGAAAAACTTTGTCTAATTTAGTGCCAAAAATTCTGCTTGTTTCAGATGTATGTCTAACAATACCTGGTATAACAAAGTAATAACAAATTCCTTTGAGTTAAAGCACCATTTTGTTGACCAGGGTACACTAGTTATGCTCTTTAGGGGACGCTCCGGTTCATCATTTACAATAAATTTAAAGTTAATTATCACCATGAACATGCTGACAAAGCTAAATGATATTCAGTTATTTCTACCTCAGTCATCGTTTATAAACTTCAGCTGCCATCAGCAAAAATGCCATTTACAAGTTCAGCAACTGCCCGTTTTCAAAGGAAATACAAGGGGAAGTACTGCCCGGATAGATTTCTCTTTACATTTGACATATTCTTTTATGTTTATGAGGAAATAAAATGGGTTATTTCATTAAAACAAGTCGTACAAATGACCCTTCTCAACTCTGAGCTGTTCCCTCTGTAGAAATGATTCCAGTTTGCAGCAGCTGCAGAGTAATTAGTTGCTTGATTCACACTAAGGAGCTTACATACTAAGGGTTGAGCAAAAAGAAAGCAGATTACAACCTGAGAAGCAGGATCTAGCTGTGCTGCAAACACAACATGCACAAGTATGGGGGCTGTCAAAAAGTTGCTTCTAAGTACTTTCTCACTTTATAGATGTAGAGATTATTGGACAAAATGTAGGTGACCAGAGGGGAAATCTGCACTATTAAGAGATTTGTACCAGCAGCTTCTCAGTCCTCAGATTGTCTTTAAGTCACATGCTCTATTCTGCTACCTAGCAACAGTAAAGCCCAGGCAAAAGTTCCTCAATCTCCCTGAGAGAGGCTTTGTGTTCAACCTTTATACTACAACTAGGAGAGTTTTACTCTAAACAAAAAAAGT